TAGACTGAAGAACAAAACGACAGCAACTTGTCTGTTCCCCTTCCTTCAATTCCCCAGCACTGTTCCCATCCCCCCAATTCCCCAATAAAAATCTTCAAAAAAAAAAAAAAAGTGAAGCGGACAGAAATTCCCATTTCCAGGCCTTGGTTAAACATCTCCCACAAAACTGAAAACCATCAAATGACCTAAGATGCTTAAGAGGTCCTATATAATAAAAGATGTCCACAACACCAGACAGAGTCCCAGGAGTAGGGATTCATGGAAGACCTTTCACACTCAGGCTGAGTAGTGGGAAATTTATAATTTGGCACCTGGTTCATCCATGAGTTTCTCATTGGTGGGGTTCACGTGAGCCTGCAAAGCTCAGACACCTGCTCCTAGGACACCCCCTCCTTCCCCAAAGAGGAAACACACTCTTGTGTCAACCCCAAGTATAAGGGAGAAAGTCCTAGTTCTCAGGTTTTGGTTTAGGTAGGTGTCACCAAACCTGGGTTTGCATAGCACTTGTACCAAGGCAAGTCATGCGTTCCCATAAGCATTCCTGCTCTTGGTCCTGAGTGAGGACGGTGCGGTGCTCCTATCAGGAGGCTGTGATACCCCTTGACCAGGCTGGCAACGAGGACACTGGAGGCGGTGCTTGCCTGTGCTACGCCCCTCCCACAGGCGGGTGTGGGTGAAGGCCCAGCAGTCCTGGCTCACCGAGCCCCTGGAGTTTGTGCTACAAGACACGGGCCTCCCGAGAATACCGCTGGAGGTGGCAGGGTCTGTGCGTACGAGCTCTTGTCGCGCCAGAACCCCAAGGCCGGAAGCCAAGCAACGCCATGACCGGTCCCCTGCGGTCGGGACCAAGTAGCTGGCGGCGGGCGGCCACCGTGGTGCTAGCGGCGGGCTGGACGCACCCGGACCCCGCTGCCCGATCGTTGACCCCGCCGCCCGCGGAGGGCTTCCGGCTGCTGCTGCTGCAGCGTTCCACGCGCCAAGGCTTCCTGCCCGGGGCGCATGTCTTTCCGGGCGGCATACTGGACCGGGCCGACAGCTCCCCCGACTGGCTGCGCGTCTTCGCGCCACACCACGGACCGCCGCGCTTCAGCCTGGGACCCTCACCGCCCCCGCGCAGAGCCTTCCCGGTGCTGCCCTCTGAGGGAACACACGCCATGGAGGGGGCGCTGCCTGATGACGTAGCCTGCCGCATCTGCGCCATCCGGGAGACCTTCGAGGAGGCTGGCGTGCTACTGCTGCGGCCCCGGGGCTCGCTAGCCGCAGAGCCGGAGCTGGCCCGCGCCTTCCCACCGCCCCCGGACCTGGCGGACTGGCGTGCCCGTGTGCGCCGCGACCCGCAGCACTTCCTGCGCTTGTGTGCACACCTGGACTGCACGCCGGACATCTGGGCGCTGCACGATTGGAGCTCCTGGCTCACGCCCTTCCTGCGCGGTGGCAGGCGCCGCTTTGACACCGCCTTCTTCCTGTGCTGCCTGAGCGAGCCGCCGCCGGTCTACCCAGACTTGGAGGAGGTGGTGAACTCCCAGGTAGGGCGTCCTCACGGCGCCGAGTTGGGCGCCGGCCGGCGGCCAGGGCTTACCCATAACCTCGGGATAAGGGCCGTACAGCCAATAAGTGAACGGTCATGGAACCCAGGTGGACCGGCCCCTAACCTTGCAGGCCAAAGCCAGGACCTTGGTGAAATGTTCCCTTGTGTAAGGTGTTGCATAGACATTTAGGGCTGTTAATGTTGGATGGAGTGACCCTTTGATTATTATGAAATACCCTTTTTTATCCCTGGTAATTTTCCTTATTCTGAAATCTGAAGTTTACTCTGTCTGAGATTAATATAGTCACTCTACCATTCATTTTTCTTTATATTTAAAGTGTGTTTCCTATAGGCATCACATAGTCTTGCATTTTTATCCAATATGACAATTTCTGCCTTTCAATTGGAGTGTTTAGATCATGTATATTTAAATGTCACTATCAATAAGGTTAGATTCAAATCTACTACCTTACTGTTACATACATTGGACTTCTATTGCTATTATAAACTCTACAATACATTATTTTTGCCTTAAACAGTCAATCTGTTAAAGACTGAAAATAAAGGGAAAAATGTATTTTGTTTTCCCTGCATATACCATTCTTGGCACCTTTTGTTCCTTTGTGTAAATTTAAATTTACATCTAATGTCTTTCTGCCTAAAGAACTTTCTCTAATATGTTTTGTATTTAGATTGTCTAACAATGAATCCTCTAAATTTTATCAGAAAAATACTTTATTTTTGCCCCCTGTTTTTTTTGGAAGCTATTTTGACTGTGTATAGAATTCTAGGATGACAGGGTGTTTTTTGTCAGTGCTTAAAGATGTTGCTTCATAATTTTCTGATGAGAAATCTGCTTTTAAGTCTTATCTTTGTTCCTCTGTACATAATGTGTTGAGTGTGTGTGTGTGTGTGTGTGTGTGTGTGTGTGTGTGGCTACTTTAAATATTTCCTCTTAATCACTGGTATTCAGCAATTTGATTACGATGTACATGATTTTCTTTGTTCTGTTATTTATATTTCTTCAAATATTTTTCATCTTCTCCTATTTTCTGGGACTCCAGTTACATGTATATTGGACTATTTGATAATGTCCCATAGGTCACTGATACCTAGTTCATTTTTTTCAAACTTTTTTCCTCTTCATGGCTTTATTTTGATTAGCTTCTATTGCTGTTTTCAAGTTTTCTCTGTTTTCTTATGTAGTTTCTAATCTGCTGTAAATACCACCAGTGTATTTTTCCAGTGTATTTCTCATTTCAGATTTTCTTTTTTTAGATTTTATTGGGGAGTTGGGGGAGAGGAACAGCAATGGGGAATTGGGGAAGGGGAACAGACAAGTTGCTGTCCGTTTGTTCTTTAGTCTAGTTGTGGAGGACGCCGCTTCACTGGTCCATGTTGGTATTATCATTGCGCTCTTCCCGGGTGAGGCAGTCAATTGCCAGCCATTGGATGGCCACTCACTGCGGCTCATGCCTGCTGCCGGCCAGCCCCACTGCAGCCTACGCAGTCACCGGTGACTCAAGGCAGCCCAGCTCCAGGTCGAGCTACTGTTCACCATCTTAGCTGTAGAGGGCACAGTGTCACTGGCCCTCATGTGGGATCCAAACTGGGGCCTTGCTGCTCAGAGCTGGCGTCCCAAGCCAACTCCTAACCAATGCGCTGCTCGGCTGGCCCCATTTCAGATTTTTTTCATCTCTAGAAGTTCCATTTAGTTCTTTTAAAATATTTTCTGTTTCTCATCATGTTCATACTTTCCTTTACATTTTTAAGCCAATGGACTGTACTTGTAATGGTTTTAATGTCCTTTTCTGCTAATTCCATCATCTCTGTAATTTTTTGGGTCTCTTTCTATTGATAGATTTTTGTTCTAGCTATGGGTTACATTTTCCTGTTTTGTTGTGGGTCTTGCAATTTTTGGTTTGGTGTTGGATATTGTGATTTTATTTATTTTATTTTATTTATTTATTTATTTTAAGGAGGGCACAGCTCACAGTGGCCCATGCGGGGATCGAACTGGCAACCTTGGTGTTATTAGCACCACGCTCTAACCAACTGAGCTAACTGATCACCCCCAAGATATTGTGATTTTTAATCGACTACTAGATTTTTGTCATATTCCTTTAAGGATTGATGGACTTTATCTGGCAGGAAGTTAAGTTACTGCAAATTAACTTGATCCTTTTGAGGTTTGTTTTTTAAGTGTTTTTATGGTAGGTCTATGGTAGCCTTTATTCTAGGGCTAATGGCTGCACTTCTAATGTGTGACCCTTCTGGGATCTACAGAATGCCCCTTATATTCAGCAAGGTCTCTCCATTGGGGTTGGAGGGAATTTGAAAAATTCCTGGCCTTAGGTGAGCCCTGGGATTGTTAGTCTTAAAACTCCCAGGTAAATTGTTCTTTTCTCAGGAATCATTGTTTTCCAACGTCATGTGGTTTCACCTTATGCATGCATAGATTAGTGTTTAGCGAAGACTCAAGGGCACACTATACAGCTATCTGGAGCTCTACTCTGTGTAGATCCCTCCTTTCAGGTACATTGCCTTTCAAATTCTAGCCTGTATGGGTTTTCCCAAATTCTGGTCTTTGTCTCTTTTAAGTTGGTGATGACTTTCTCCTTCCTTGTGCTGTAGTCTGGGCATTACTGTCAGGCAGAAAGCCTTGGAAACTCTTGGAACTCTACTGCGTATACCTCATTTGTTTTTATTTTCCCACATATTACAATTCTGCATTTTTCAATGTTTAAAAATGGTGGTTTTATATAGACTTTGTCCACTTACCTATTTTTTACATTATGGCGGGGGAAGGTAATTATAGCACTCATGGCTGGAAGAGGAGGTTCCAATAAATAATTCTTAACCCGGTCTAGGCTAGTGGTTCTCAATAGGAGGTGTTTCCCCTACCCAACCCTCCAGGTACATTTGGCAATGTCTAGAGACATTTTTGGTTGTCACAACTTGGGGACTTCTGTTGGCTTCTACTAGAGCCCAGGTAGGCTGTTAAATATCCTTTAGTGCATAGGACAATCCCCTACAACAAAGAATTATCTGGCCTAAAGTTTCAGCAGTGCCAAGGTTCTGAAACCTAGTGGAAACAGTGGAATTTAGAGCCAGTCCCCACTCCCCACGCTGAACCTGAAGCCCAGAATTTTCTGGTTAGAGTAGCTGCCTGGGTTTCTTCATTTGCAAAATGACAGTAAGCAGAGTTGTCCTAAGGACTGGAAATATTTTAGGTAAAGTATTGGAGCAGTGCTTTACTAGTAACAAGGAACTGATAAATGGTTAAGTTCTTTTAACCTATGGTCTGTCTGGACTAACTTGAATAGGTTAAATTAAGTGGGTTGATGCCTATTGTTTAAACTTTCATCTTGATATCACTGAACTCACATAGAACTGACAAAGCAGAATGCTTTGTAAATAATTTCAAGATTGGGGCCCAAACTTTGTTTTCAAAATGCAGCCAACTTCAGAATAATCTGTGGTGCTTGTTAAACATAGAATGCTGGCCCCATAGACTAAAGATTTAACAGGTTTCTTAGGGGGTATTTAAGCACATACAAGCTTGTAAACCTTTGGCCTATAGTTATCCAAGGCAGAAATCAATTTCAACTCTCTGGGTTTAGGCATGGGAGTCAGTTTTCCCCTAGGAAGCCAGTTAAAGAAAAACCTTTGGGGTTATTCCATAGTCATTGAATCAGCTCTTTTTATCTAAATGTGTATGGAAGGAAGGCTTGGGAAGGAGGATAGGTCACAGCAGTGAGGCCGCTTAAATTAAATGGGCAAACGCTGGCTGGTTGATACCCTGCTATTATTATACTCCTGGGGCTGTAGCCTGAGTCATGCCTCTTGACCTTCCTGAAAACTCCTACTGCTCCTCTTTTACCTCTGTTCTAACATGTGGCACACATCACACTACATTTTGGGTGCTGACGACCCTAGAGGCCTGAGAGAGCTTTGTCTTGTCCGCTACCAAATCCTCAGAGCCGAGCCAAGGCGCCTATTTATGGGAGGAACAGCTGGGCACTAGACTCAATCTGCTGCCATGAGTTTTTACTTCAGAGTCTTCTTTCCTTCGGGAATGACCAGAATTACCTTTCCTTCTCAGCACCTCCTGCCTTTTATGCTGAACGACTCTCACAGGTCAACCCTCGGTGATCTACCCTGGTTTATTTACTAGTTCTCAGGATCAGTATCCCAGTAATTAACCTCTTAAGGGGATCAACCCAGCCTTCTATTATACACCAAACCTTTTCATGTCGTCTCAGAGGAATCTAGCAAGGCATATTAATGAATTAATTTTACATCTTCAGTTAGCTTAGATACTGATCTAACATTCTCAAAGCTTGCACTGTCTATGAAATGAACCTTAGGGGATTCTACCTTTGTCTTCCACAGTGGTCATCTCCGTCAGAGGCAACTGCAAGTTTCATATCAAAAGCAATTTGGTTGGCACCTCCACAATTCTATGAAATAAGAAGACTCGGCAACTTTGCCTCGCTCTCTGACTTGCACAAATTTTGTTTGGCTCACGCATTAGAAGGGGTGGAAAGATGGATGCCCATCACATTATTGACGGCTGATGGGCAGATGCAGCTTTTACCAGGTAAGTCAGCGAGGCATCAATGCTTTTGTTAGCAGTCACATTTAATTCGCTTCTCTTTTCTATATATTAATTTTGAATTATGAGAACTTGTGAATTGTCAGCTTAATTTGAATTAGGGAGTTTGTCAGTGGTCAGTTGTTGGGCAAGTATAGGATGGAGGTTTTGTGGCAGTTTAGAGTGGGGCTTTGTGACCAGTGTGATTTATGGTTACCTGTCTCAGTTCTCACAATAGTGATACTATTTATTACTCATCCTATACAGTGGGATAATTTAGCAATTTTGATGTGTAAATGATAATTTCTCTAATGTAACCTTAAAATGATTAGAGCAGCCCACATTGAAACACCAAAAATATATGGATATCAAGGCCAATATTAATATTGACTAGGATAAAGAGACTCATGAACTATATAAAAGTTATAGTTTATGATGAAAAAATACCAGTCAAATATTTATGTGCCCAAAGAAAATTCGTGGCTGAGTAATGGGGCTCTACGGGTTGTGGGTATTAAAAACACAAGAAAGAAATTGAAGTAAGCTCATAAAATTAAGGTTATTTAACAACTATCTCAGTTCTAAACACATGAAATAGATTTTAAAAATACTGATTTATATGTCACTAATATATTGGAATGCTTTATAAAATAACACTTTGTGGAATTAAAATATTTTTCAGGAGATGAGCTGTACTTGGAAGATTCAGACTTTTTAGAAAATCTTTTGTCCACTGAGAAAAAGACTGACGAAATCATGAAGGAAGGCAAGAAATTTCACCGAATAGTGATACACAGTACTCATGTTTATAGTATCCATGTGACTGTTCAGTCAAAGTATAAACATGTTTATCCTAAGAACTATGTAGTAAGTAAGAGCCATTTGTAGTGTTGCTTATTTGTAAGTTGGCCCACTTCACTTGAAATTGTCCTAATGAATAATGAGGGTTGATTAGAGTTGGACCTTAACTTTGTGCCTGTAAAAGTTATAGTACAGTCTTTCATATTTCAGGTATATTATGGAGCTCTTGTTTTTTTTTCATTCTTTAAAACCGTGCTGTGTCACACAGATATAATGTTATTAATGATCTTATGGAAACGAGAAAAAAAATTTTATAAGGTTTTCCACTTCTGTATTGTTTCAGTATCAAAAGTTTAACCCATTCTACCGCCATTGTCTTTTAAATGTCCAGTATATTAGCGTTTTCCTTGATGTGCTTAGGAGATTGATCCATGAATTTCTTAGACTTTATGCTGGAGTTAATTTAAGGGTGTTTGATTACATGGTGAACAGTAGACTGAGAAGACCTTTGAGTGACAATATCATTATTTCTCGACATTATTTAGCTTGATGTAATTATTTAGCTTGATCATTAAGATACAGTTCTGTTTAAAACCAAATTGCATTAGTTATTAGGTTTACCAAATTGGAAACCTACCTTAGTTACTATTTTAAAGAAATATGAATCCATAACAAAAGTCATAACTATTTTTACTCTGGAATACTACTAGTTAATGAAACAAAGAACTTAGAGAAATGTAGAATTATTCATCATTTAGTGGTGTTTATTAATGATGCTTATTTTCAGTATTTTTAATATGGGTAATTTTTTCACCTATTAAGAATAATATTGTTTATTGATTAAAGATGGGACATGGTTAAGACACAAATTATATTTCGGGTCTTTGACTATATTATGCATTGTACGATAGATTTAATTTTTCATGAAATGTCTTATTTTTCTACTTATAAAATAGAGGAATTAATGAATAAAATTCATGTGTATTATTTAATCCTGATTAGAAGAATACATCTAGATCAGTGCTTCTCAACCCGGGCACTTTTGCCTTTCAGGAGACATCTGGTAACATCTGGAATAATTTTTGGTTGTCATAACTGAGAGTGAGGTGCTACTATCATCTAGTGGGCATAGGCCAGGGATGCAGTTAAATATCCTACAATACATAGGACATCCACCCCAACAAAGAATTATCTGGCCAAGGTTGAGAAACTAATCTAGAGTAAAATCTATTTTCTTTAATAAATGATTCCAGTGTGTAAAATTTGAAAGCACAGATACTGTTAGCATTCCACCTGGCTTCTAAATTTACAAAAACTCTTACTGACTTTTGGTCTTGGGCATAATATTCTTTCATTCTTATAGAAAATGGAATTGTTATATAGCTGGAAGGGACCTCATTGAACACTGCAGTTTTGCTGGTGAGAAAACTGAGAAACAGTTCCAAACAGTTAGTGCCACAGCCAAGAGTGGAACCTGATTCTTTGTCGAGCAAGTGACATCTGTTGCCTGTCATCAAAAGCAGATATCTGAACACTTCTGCCCACTGCATCTTGGTAGTATAATTGCCAAGGAAACCACAACAGAGCCAAGCATTGCATGGAACAATGCTTTACTCACATAGAGAAGAGGCAGAGCAAGAGCAACTCCAGCATGTTGGTTACCCATGGCCATCAGGTCCCCTCCCTACAGCCAACGCCAAACAATCGGCCTGCATGCATCCCTCTTGTGCTGCAGTAGGATAGATATAATAGTGGGGTTGTCCAGGTGCCATAGGATGCTCATGCTTAAGCAGAAGAGCAAAGGAGCACACATTGAGTCTAAAAGAGGGAAAGATATTTCCATACAGGTGACAAATATAGCACATGCTGTGAGGATTCTTTATGTTTTGGTAAGGAAGTGTTCCAGGCCCAAAGCCCATTCTTAATGCAGCCAAGGGAGGGTTGAAAGACACTGGCTTTGCCAACACTCCTAGTCATGCGTCCTTTTTGCTGGAGTTACATGGCCAAGTGGATGATTTTAGGAGATGTAGTGAGGAAGTAATGTGACTGGGTTTTCTTCATAAAGATCTACTTTTTGTTGTTTTTAATGTGACTGAAACTTGTCTCCTTCTAAGAATTCCTTGTGGGACACTGTCACATGACTTCCTACCTATGGTGATACCCTGACCAAAAATAATAGGGCTACCCTCATGAGCTGAATAAGTGTGTTGTTTGAGAGCCCAGCTTGCTAGTGGTTGTAGTATTTATCATATGGTCTTCCTTACCTCTTATATTCAAGCTACCTGGGCCTCAGGTACAGAAGCAGAAAGCCAGAAAGCCGATTACTTGTCCCTACCCCTTCTCCTTCCTGCCCATGCCATCTTGTCCAGGGCACAGCCAGGAAAATTCGTTTTCTATGATACTGTAGAATCTCTTGAAACTGCAGTTATGAATTCAGGAATAAATATGAAGTCGGTATACATTTTCATTGCGTACCTTTTTTTGCTTATAATTTTGGATGACCATAAGAATCCAAAACTGATCTGGCATCAATATCTCAGGCTAACATGTCTTGTCCTCAGAGTTTTTTAATAAAAATAAAACAAGATTGCCCTATAATATGGGAGATACAATAAGGACTCGAATATAAGGGGCCTTCCTCTCTTCTGAGTGCTGCTTTGTGTGTGTGGAGTCCTCACATTTGAGCATATGTAGTTATTTCAGTTTCTCCTTTCTCCTCAAACTTCTATATTTTTCAACCTTTCTGTAACTTTTGACAATTTTCCACTCCTCCTTGCTCCTCCTTAGCCATTCCTCCTCTATCTTCTTTAATTTCTTCTCTGCAAGCTGACCTTTAATTGTTAGAGTCCCTCAATACTTGTTCTCAGAATCTCTTCTCTCCTTGGGTGATGTAAGCAATTTCCAAGTCACATCTTTTAAAAAGGAAATTGCTGGCCCTCTACTTTCCCTTCTCACTGGCTGGAAATGGCGACAACTGGAGCAGCTACCTTGGTCCCAGAGACAGAAGTCAGATGTTAAGGCATAACTGCTTGCCAGATGTGGATTGTTCACCTCTTGTTATGTGAAAGAAAATACACTTATGTTTTATATAAGCCACTACATTTTTAGGTCTCTGTTAAAACCAGTTGGCTTGTTCCTTAACCTATAATTTTCCCTCCCTAAGCAGATTCCCTCAGCACAGTCTTTTCATATCAGAAACCTACCAGTTATTTAAGCTAAAAATCTTAGTCATTCTTGATTTCTCTCTTTCCTTCATTCCTAGCCAGGTGACTAGCAAGTCCTATTGATTCTAAATATTACCCACAATTAGCTTGAATTTTTCTGCACTGCTATCACTTTAGTCTAAGTTATCTCTTACCAGCCAACTGTAATAGCTGTGGAGCTAGTCTCTTCATTTTCATTCTTCCCCTCACACTGCATTCTTCCACGGAGCTGGAAAAGTGATCTTGACATTGACATTGAAATGTAAGTCATGCCCTGTCATGCCCCTCATTAAAACCCTTCAATGGCTTTTCTTCACACTTAAAAACTAAATTAACTTACGGTGGCCTACAAGGCCCCTCCTGTCTCTCTGATGCCATCACTTGCTCCTCTCTTTTTACTCTCATCTCCTCTGAGATGGAAAAGAACTTTGAGCTCTTTCTGCACATACTGTTGCCTGAGACCAACCTGGATCTCTGAACTATTTTGTTCTTGAGTCCTTTTGTTACTGAAGCCTCAGAAAAACATATTGGATGGGCATCCAATATGAGGATTATGGCATGTCTAAAAGAAAATTCCAGAACAAATAGAAGAAAAACATTATTTAGAGAAGAAAGTTTTCTAGAGCTGAAGAAAAATGTTGATCCTCAGGTTAAAAGGTCCTGTTGTGGTTAAAGCAAAAATAACAAAAATTGTCCAATACCTGGATGACATTTTGAATTTCAAAGATAAAGAATGCACAAATTTTCAGGAAGAAAAGATTGCTCAAAAAGGTACAAAATCAGGCTTCTGAGTGTGTGTTACAGAGTAACAGGATATACTGGACAGCACATGTTAATATGTTGAGGGGAAAAGGATGTGTGGGCTCAATAATTCTATATCAAACAACGTGAAAGCCACAGATTTAAACCTCATTTATATATAGGCTTTGAAGATTCCACCCATTCTGGAAAAATTCACTTCATAGAAATACTATAGATGACTGGGAAGAGAAATCAAAATAAAAACTTTTTTTTTTTAATTACCAAAGCTTTAAGGTTTATTCTGTGTATGTTTTTTTCCCTTTTAATTATTTTTTATTATGAAATACACATTTTTTAGAATTAGTTTCAGCTGTACAACACAGTGCAATAGTTATACTTTTTACCCCTGAAAGTGACAACCCCCCTCCCCCAATCCACCACCCCACTTCCCCCCAGTATCATACATATCTATTACAATTCCCTTGACTCCACTCCCACACTACATTCCACATCCCATGACTATTTATATATTCACTTATAGTTGACATACAATATTATACAACATCAGCTTCAGGTGTACAGTGCAGTGATCAAGCCTCTTCCCCATCCATGATGCGGTCTCCCTAGCAAGACATGTGACCACCTGACACCCTACAAAATATTTACAACATTATTAATTATATTCTTCGAACTGTCTTTCATGTCCCTGTGGCAATATTGTAGTTGCGTATTTATGCTGTCTAACCCCTTCCCCTTCTCCCTCATCCCCACTCCCTCCCAACTAACAGCCATCCGTTGTTCCTCTGTATCTCTGAGGCCACTTCTGTTTACTTTCCTCGTGCATTCAGTTTTTTAGATTCCACATATAAGTGAAATCGTATGGTATTTGTCTTTCTCCGACTGACTTATTTCACTTAGCATAATAGTCTCTAAGTCCATCCATATCGTCCCACAAAATAAAACCTTTTGAAGTAGAAGTGCATAATAGAAGTCTTGATGGTGAGTGTGGAAATCAATATAGGAAGTAAATGTGAATGATATGGCTATAAAGTACTGCAAATGTTAAAAGGAATAATTCAAATTTTAACATTTTGTAAAACCCCCTTTTGATAAAAATAACTTGGTTCTATAATCCCAGATTATATTATTATAAACAGTAAGTGGTTATGGGAGGAATAAGAAAAAAAACGAGGGAATCAATACCTGTAGTTTTCTAATAATAAATACTGTTTAAGTGTTTTTAAATACAAAAGTAGATAATAGAATTAAAAATAGAATCATCACTTTTCAAATCAATCAAAAACAAAGTGTGCCCTCTAATGCAAAAGATAGAAAACAATGCAAATGGCAACAAACCAAAAGTCCAAAGCTTAGAACAAAATGATTCAAGTAGGAATAAAATTCAACCCTGATAACACAAAAAAAGGGTTAAATCTATTAAAAGATAAAGAATCTCAGATTAAATGTTTTAAAACCTAATTATCTAGAGAATGATCCAAGATGGTGGAGTAGATAAACACTGTACTTACCTAATCTCATGAACATATCAACATTACAACTAAATTATAGAATTATCAACCTGCAGAGTCAGCTGAAGTCTAGCAGAACAGAAGTTTTATAACTAAGGATATAAAGAAGAAGCCACACCGAGACTGGTAGGAGGGGCAGAGATGCAAATGGGCTGGCCCCAAACCTCTGGTGGATAAAAATTGGGAGGGTACGTTGGCCACAGAGGAGCAAGGGACCTCATCCCCCCACATCAGCCTCCCTAGCCCAGAGTACTGGTGCTGGAAAGAGGAGCTCCCACAACATCTGGCTGTGAAAAATGGGATCCCAACTGTCCGGGTGGGATAGAAGGCGACGGGAAACTCAGCTGTCCTCTTAAAGGGCCAGTTCACAGATTCACTCACTCGCAGGTACTCACCCTGGGCTCTGCTGGAGGGATGGTGACTCTGGAGATGTCGGAGACATACTGGGGCTGACTGAGGTGTGTGGCCTCGGGAGGAGGCCTGGCATTTTCCCCGTGTGGGGAACTCCTTCCTTGCAGCCTGCAGGCGGGCGCCATTTTTCTTGTGTTGCGCCTGCTTCCTACGCTTACAGCCAGATCTGAATCTGATTGGTCTGGAGAGCTCTGCAGCTCTTTTCTGCTGACTCACTGGAATCCTGCTCCACCAACTCTATACTGCAGGCGGCTTTATCAGCAGCTGAACCTTACTGGAGCCGGCAGCAAGCAGCAGCAGGCCTTGGTATGTCCTGGTACTGGCGGCAGCCATCCTCATTTCACAGAGTGGCCTCTCCCACATGCTTCCAGGTCCAGCACAGGCAGTGACCAACTGTGGATCACTCTGTAGCTCCTACGAGGTGTCCCAGACTGGTTATAGGTGGTGGCTTACCTGGGCCTGCACCGGAGCCCCTCCTAAGAGGCCCCCAAACTAACATACTTGGCAGTTGGCTTCAAACTACAGCAGAGCCCTGCCTAATTAGCCTCACAAGTGGCACACCCAAAGGGTAGTCTCAACAGGCACCAGAGCCTGCTGAGGTGAATTCCACTCTGGGCGGTAAGCCCCCTGCACAGCAGCCTGTAAGCTGTGGATGTGGCCAAACCCCACAGTCAATTAGCCTGAGGGTCAATCCTACCCACTGATGTGCCAATAGCAATCCATGTTCACATATAGCAGGAGGACACACACAACCCACACAAGGGATACTCTTGGAGCACCTGCAGCAGGTGACAAGGGAGACTGTGCCAGGGCCCCACAGGACACCTACTACACGTAAGGCCACCTGGTAAGAGATGTAGCAGATCTTCCTAATACATAGAAACAGAGGCAGACAAAATAAGGAAACAAATATGTCCCAAATGAAAGAACAGGAGAAAACTCCAGAAAAAGAGCTAAATAAAATGGAGGCAAGCAACCTACCAGAGACAGAGTTCAAAACACTGGAACTTAGTGAGAACTTCAACAAAGAGATAGCAAGCATTAACAATGACATTGAAACCATAAAAAAAAACAATCAGAAGTGAAGAATCCAGTAACTGAAAAGAATACACTTGAAGGTATCACCACCAGACTAGATGAAGCAGAGGATCGAATCAACGATTTGGAAGACAAGGTGTCATAAAACACCCAGTCAAAACAAAAGGAAAAAAGAATTCAAAAAAATGAGAGTTTAAGAGACCTCTGGGACAACATCACACATAACAACATCGCATCACAGGGGTACCAGAAGGAGATGAGAGAGAAAGCAAAGGACTGAGAACCTATTTGAAGAAATAATGACTGAAAACTTTCCTAAGCTGGAAAAGGAAACAGACATACAAGCCCAGAAAATGCAAAGAGTCCCAAAAAAGATGAACCCAAACAAGCCCATACCAAGACACATTATAATTAAAATGGCAAAAGTTAAAGATGAAGAGAGAATCCTAAAAGCAGCAAGAGAAAGGCAACTATTGGGTTGTCGGAAAAGTCATGACGTATTTTTTCTATGTTTTTCGTTGCAAAAATACATAACTTTTCCGACAACCCAATAGTAACTTACAACGGCACTCCTCTAAGACTGTCAGCTGATTTCTCAACAGAAACTTTGCAGGCCAGAAGGGATTGGCAGGAAATAACTCAAAGTGATGAAAAGCAAGGATATACAACCAAGACTACTCTACCCAGCAAGGCTATCATTTAAAATCGAAGAGCTTTCCAGACAAGAAAAATCCAAAGGAGTTCATCACCGACAAATCAGTATTACAAGAAATGCATGCTGGGAGTTACAGTAATGGCAATGTAAATGAGATAATGACATTATAATTAGCTAATGGTCAGTTCCCCCTCATTGGTTTCAGCCTTGCTGGATGAAACTGGTTCTTGTTTTTCTCCAGCTGCAGTTACTGGATACAGTCACTTGTTACTTGTGTAACCAGTGAGGAGCCTCACGTTGTACCCTGGAGGGGGTTTTCAATTTCCTAGGCTACCTATTCCCACTTTGCTCCATATAGTGTGAACTCATCTAAGTGTGAGACCCACCCTAGAGTTCCAATTTTAAGAAAACAGAGGCTTCCAAGTCTTCAGAGAGCTCTGCAGTACCTTAACAATAGCAAAAATTTCACATTGGGACCCACCAGGCAGAGGTTTGTGACCTTTGGTGGTGACAAGGATGCCCAAGACTCGATTCTTGGGGAGCCCCGTCAGCTGGGAGGAAAATGGCGACCAAGTACCTTTCCAGAGGTGGGTGGGTGGGGGGAACGAGGAATGTTGCCTGGAGGCTCTGAAGGCACAGGCATCAGTGGTTGGTCGTGACTCTCGCTCACCCCAAGGCCAGGAAGTGAAGGCTGGTCAAGAGGGAGGCGAAGAGTTGGGCCTCCTAGCAGTTGACCACGACCTGATTCGCCCGTCTGCCGCTACTCCGCTCCTCGGAACGGGTAAAACAGTCGTGGGAGTCCCTGGGCCCTAGATGGTGACGGTCGGGCGGGCCATAGCGTGAAACCCATGACCTCTGGAACGCCAAGATCCCTTGAACCACGTGATGCCGGGCCCCGCAGGCTCCGTGTTCTCCTCCACAGCTCCTCCCCCTGCGCAGGCTCCCGCCTCACCGCCGCATTGGGCGCTTTACGCAGGGCGCTGGCAGTTGTCTGTGCCGTTGGCGCAACACATGGTTTCCGGAAGTCCGGCGTCGGGGTCGCAGTGTCCAGGTAGGAGGATGCAGCACGTCGCCTGTGGTGCGTGGCGGGCGTGGGCTGCGGAACCGGAAATCAGGGGAGGGGGCGGAGCTAGGCATGCGGGGTCCCAGGTGCCAACTGGGTAGGAGGTGCGGCCCCCACGGGGAGCGGAGGCTGTAGCCTGCAGTGGGAGAACCTCGGTTTTTGCCCCCAAAGTTCACTCTGTGTCAGTAGCGACGGGAAGGCCCAGAAAGGCGCGCGGCCACGACGGTGCGTGTCTTCCCAGGGCGAGTCGGCCGGCGGCCAGCGACGCGCGAGGAAGATGCTCGAGGTCCTGGTGCTGAAGGTGAGCGAGCGCGAAGCCCCGGGCCGGGCCGTTGACCCGCCCCCAGCCCTACCAGGGCTGGTCCGCCCTGCTGGGACGACGGTCTTTGGACCTCGCTGGTAGGGGGTGCCAGATAAAATCAATTTCACCAAAACATGAAATTTTGGCTCAGCTGTGTCCCAGGCACTATTTCTGATACAGGGTAAAAAGTTACTCGTTGTTTCTACGAAATTCAGATTTAACTGCGTGTCCTGTGTTTACCAACTCTAGAACCTTAGGGGATGGGACATACGGAGTCCTGGGACCGAGCTGGTTGAGGGCTCCCGCGCACCCCAGGTCGATGGAAACGGGGACCTTGACCTATTCTTCTGGACAAGGGTCCACCCCGGTTGGACAGGGTCCGGAGTGACCTGTACGTCCCTTTCTTTCATCCCCGTACACACGCGCATTCTGTCTTCACTCGTGTGGATGCCTGCCCTCTCACGCCCCAGAACTCTGGAGGCCACTACCTACCCGCCCAGGCGCCTTGGGGCTCGGATCCGTAAATACTCAAATAAATAAAAGGGAAATAATATGTATGTCTCAGCTATTCCTGAGAAATAATAAAGAAAATACCTAATTCAATGAAATCCTGTGAATTTAATGATGTGGAATATTTAGTTTTCAATACCAGATAGATAATTCAGCTTTTACTTGAGTAAAATTATTCAAGTGTGAATGGCAGGGGTAAAGGAGAAGAGAGTGGACCAAAATGTATATACATAATATTTTTCTAATGGAAATAAAATAGACATGCAGGAGAAAAATGTGTAAGGCAGTGGTACACTGATAACTGCAACGGGGCAGTATTGCCTTATAGCACTGGCAGGAAGCGGTAGGCCCCAACCTTGGTGTAAGAGGTGTGAGTGGGAGGAATTGGGAGCCCATCCCCTCCTAGTAAAGCACGCGGAAGAAATGGCAACTTGAACTATTTGTGCTGCTGCTGGCTGGTAAAACAGCACCTGGTCTACATTTTCTAGGTTTTAGAAGCAGATTTTTTTAAAAATGAAACTTTTTGGCAACTTCAGTGTGATGCAGCGGAAGGCGAAACCTGGAGTGGGGACTCAAGCCCTGGGCTAAGAAAGTTATTGGCTTCACATAGGAAAGAATTCAAACGTGAGCCGATATAATGGAGTTTAAAGTGAAAATAAGTTTATTTAGCAGAGAGTAAGAAAAGAAAAGAAAGGCCACTCCACGGACAGAGTGGTGGCCTGTAACTGCTTAGTGGAAGAGAGATGCCCCTCTGCGCATCAGGGTAGGGTTTATATGTTTCTTGTTTCTGTGGAAAACTTCTTGGTATGGGGAACTTCTGCAAGGTATAAGAAAGGGGCAGGCTTACTTTTAACTGTGGCTGGTTTGTAATAGGTTTAACTATGTGAATGGCCATTACAATGGAATCTCTGCTCAGTAGGCTTTTTTTTAAAAAGATTTTATTGGGGAATTGTGGGAGGGGAACAGCGTTGGGGAATCGGGGATGGGGGAACATACAAGTTGCTGTCCTTTTGTTCTTCAGTCTAGTTGTGGAGGATGTTGCTTCACTGGCCCATGTTGGTATTATCATAGCGTTCTTCCCGGGTGAAGCAGTTGCTCGCCGGCCATTGGATGGCCACTCACGGTGGCTCATAGCAGCTCAGGAAAGCTCATGCCAGCTGCTGGCCAGCCCCATTGCAGCCTACGCTGATGCTGGCGACTCACGGCAGCCCAACTCCAGGTCGAGCTGTTGTTCACCATCTTAGCTGTAGAGGGCGCAGAGTCACTGGCCCTAATGTGGTATCCGAACCGGGACCCTGCTGCTCAGAGCTGGTGTCCCAAGCCAACTCCTAACCAACGCATCACTCGGCTGGCCCTGCTCAGTAGGCTTTTGATGGTCTGTTCTGTCAATTAACATTTGCCTGAGCTGAGTTCTTTACCTTGGAGTACAGTAGGCAGCAGGCTTGGATCGAGCCTCTTAGTTCCTTCTTCTGTAAAAATAGTTCTTATGCCCCTTCCCTATATTAAATGGAGCTATGATACCTTAAATAGTTTTGTTTAAACATCTTTCCCCAACTTGATATTTTGAAAATTTTCAAACATAAATAAGAAGTTACAAAAACAATATTGAGAATAACCATACATTCCACACCTAGGCTCAACAGCTGTTAACATTTTGCTGTATTTGCATATTGTTTTATACATATGTATTGTTAAAACACAAAATTTAACTGAGTAAATTGGAAAATCTAATTGGCTTTATTAAGCGATTCATAAATTGGGCAGCATCCCATCTAGCAACTAGAAGGGCAGTCTGAGGGGCTGTACAGAATGAAGGGATTTTATTTTCCCAGAATGTCATAAAAATGGAATTGTGCATACGGAATCATACAGTAGCATGTAGCCTTTGAGTCTGGCTTCTTTGACTTAGTATAATGTATTTGAGAGTCATTTTTGTTGTTGCGTATACCAGTTCCTACGTTTGTATTGCTGAGTAGTAGTCCATTGTATGGGTAAGTGACATTTTATACAATCATATAGGCCATTTGAGTTGTTGCACGTTTTTAGAGATTATAAATAGAACTGTAAACTTCACATACAGGTTTTTGCATACAAGTTTTTATTTCATGTGTAAATAACTAGACTGGGATTACCTGTATGTTTAACTTTATGAGAAACTGTTTTTCAAAGTAACTGTACCATTTTGCATTCCTATCAGAAATGTATAAGAGTTCTAGTTGCTCTACATCCTCATCAACACTTGACATTGTCAGTTTTATAAATTTTATCCATTCTAGTAGGTGTTGATAGAGACCTTATCCTTCCTGATGATTACATTTCAAAGGAATGGCTTTCAGGTCTCTGAGAAAGACTTCCTCCTGTGTTGTAGGAGATACATTACATGCTACTGAACAAGGGCTTGTTGCCCATGTACATAGAAGCCAATACTATGACATTGTCTTTTGAGAAAAGAAAAGGCTTTATTGTGAGGTTGACGGGCAAGAAGACAGGAGGCAGGGCTCAAATCTGTGTACCCCATCGAGATTTGGGGTGGAATTTAAGGGGGTCCAGAAGGATTGGCTGGTATGTGGAAGCGCTGGCAGGGCAGATTTCAATTGGAAGGCTTCAGCACTGGATCTTTTTGGACAATGGAACCTTTGCTTCCTTCTGAAAGGATTCCGGTGATTGAAGTCTGGTCAAGTCCCAGCTGTTTGGTTCCCTGTCGGGGTGGGGGGGGGTGGGGGTGGAACTTTGGTTCCATGTGTTATTGGTCAAAATTCTCCTCTGCGCATGCAGTTTCGGCTGCATGACTTAAACAGTTTTGTTCAGTTGTTGGTATCTCAGTATCTTGTTGGGAATTGGATAAGGCCAGTTTGTGCTCATTTCGCTGTTAAATACATCTCAAAGGGACAGGAAGGATTCGCAACTGTAGGCCCTTTATTACATGCTCTGATAAAGAGAGGTCAGGGGTTTGTGTCAGGTGTTGGGTAGAATAAACAGTAAATTCTCCAGGCAGCCTTGGGCTGCCTCGGGCAGGCACTTTAAAGGGGCTGGGGCCACCCTAGGGACAGCTGTTTGCTGCTGGAAGCCATGCTAGAGTTTAGGTGGCCTCGGTGCAAAGGTTTGGACCAGTCATTATGTGCCAAGAGTTCTGCAGTTCACATGGGCAGCAGCTGTAAAACTGTATTTCTTTCAGCCTTCCCAGTGTTGCTTTTCTCTGGACGACTTGGACTCTCACCTGTGCAATTCAGGGTCTGCCAAGAATTTGAGGGGTTTTCTTAGGCAGACTTTCAGGCTCTCCCTCCTGAGGCTCTCTTTTAGAATTCCTCCCCTTAATTTAGAGCTGCTCTGGCAGCCGCATACTCTGTTTTCTGGTCCCTCAAGCCATAGACATTGTGGCTTTCTGCTTGAGTTGGTAGCTGCTCCACACACCTGGACTGGGGTGGTTCTCAGGAAAGCTGTATATGAACATGGACGTTACTCAGTGATGGGTCCTCCTTTGAGAAGGATTGAGTCCCCTCCAATCTCTACCTGCTTTTGCTATCTCTTCAGTGTCTTTAAATCATTATTTTGTATTTTTTCCAGGATTTATAATTGTTACCTGCAAGTGGGTGAGTCCATATAAACTACTCTGCTATTCCTGGAATCAGAATGGCCAACTGTTCTTATTATACAAGTGTTCCAACATTCAGAAAAACAGAAAGAATACTCATACGAACACCTGTTTTTCTGCCACCCAGTACCTAGGATCCAAAATCGTGGGATGTCATTGCTTTTAGGCCCTTACAGTAGGCACAATTAGGAAATACATGCATGAGATAAATACAGAAATGAGCTCCTATTGATATTTTCAATTCAAGTTTAACTTTTCATTTTCCATTTGTATCTTTTCCCTGACAGTGAAAATCTTGGTTTCTCATAACATCAATAGATAATAAGATACATTCAGAATTCTGACTTTCATCCCTTTCCCTTCTACCCCATTCCTAGCTTCCCTGTAGATAATAATTTATATTTGTTTCAGTTTATTTCCTATCATTTATTTCTTTTAATATGAACAAAATGTACATATGTTTATAGTTCCTTCTTTTTCTTACAAAAGATGTAGGATACTGAAAACATTGTTCTGAATCTTGCTCTTGTATTTTATTATGGATATTTTCAAAATAACAGGAGCTCAAGGACATTGATTGCTGCTTTTGGAGTCACAACACATAATTAAGAAGTACATTTTATTGGTGACATGTTTTAGAATTTTATCTTTGTGCCTTTTCTTTTTTCCAGTTTTATTGAAATATAATTAACATATAACATTGTGTAAGTTAAAGGTGTACAGCGTGATGATTTGATATGCATATGTATTGCGAGTCTTTTATTTATTTATTTATTTATGCATGGGGTTCATCACAGAACATGAGTCTTTTATTTTTTATCTTTGATCTGACCATTTAAGACAGAGGTGTTTCACCAGGAATTTGATAGATCCCTTAAATCAGAAACAGTTATTGTAATTCTAAGGTTTATTATTTTACGATTCTACTTTTTAATTTTAATTTTTTTCTTTCGTTTTTCTTTTTATGGTTCTACTTTTAAATCATGCATTGTCTTTTAAAATTTTACAGGTTGAAGATCCAGGTTGCTTCTGGGTTATTATAAAAGGATGTAGTCCCTTTTTAGATCATGAAATTGACTATCAAAAACTAAATAGTGCCATGAATGACTTCTATAATAGCATGTGTCAAGATGTAGAAATAAAACCATTAATGTTGGAAGAAGGGCAGGTATGTATCTAAATGTGCTTTAAGCACCATATCTTGAAATACTACTCAGAACGTAGGATATTTTGGCAACTAAGATCATAAAAGCTTTTAGAGTATTTTAATTGCTTATAATCATTGCCTTGTGTTAGGTTCTTTGGGCTGCAGAAGATTTAGGCTAATCATGGAAAATTTCAGTTGTTGTATAAGGTTCGTATGGGGCAACAGGAGATAAAGTATCATCTAAATTTAGGCATTGGGCATCCTTTTGAGGCTGGGAACTGGAGGATTATGGTACGAGATCATCACAGGTGTAGGTACTTCAGCAAAGAGGTCATGGGCCTTTTCAGCCTAGGGCTGATGGCCTCCATTGTGCCCATCAGCTTTTTATGTAATGGTTGCACCATTCGGTGACCACTGCTGCCCAAATCAGCACATTCACGTAAGCTTGCAGAATGGTCATTTTCACATTCTTTTTGCATTTATGAGCTGGAATTCTTCTGTAGGGAACTTTCCCTCATGTATTAGGACTTTTTGGCTACCTTGACATAATACAATTCATACTGGGAAGGCAGAAAAATTGCTACATTCTTTCTCTTATCAATTTTCAGTGAAGCAATTTGTGCCCAGTTATCTACATTGGTGTCCAGAGATATTTTTTCCTCCTTTTCATTTTTTAAGTACTGTATTGCACTCGTGGCTTTTAATATACGTGGATTCATCAGTTGTGATCATTGTTTTTGATGCTTAAATTAACCCATTTTTACCTAGTAGAAGCCCTACTATACCACCAATTCAGAGTTGACTGGTTGTGTGAATTATCTATTCATACCATTCCTACAGGTTACTTTGACTTAAGCATTAAACAGAAATAACCCTCCATCCTTTGGTAGAATTTCTCTTGAATTATTTATGTTTCGAGTTATGTGAGGCTCTCAAGAACCCGTCTTTGCAAAATAGTTGCACTATATTTTTCAACTTGAATTCCCAAGGGCAGGAATCTCCATTGCCCACTTCTTCCCTGTTGGGTACAGCTGTCCCACTGGGCCACTTTGTAAGTCTGTGATCAGCTTATGGTTTGCCTGTCTGGGCTGCTGTTGAGTCAGACGCAGCCTGGCAGTTCTATGGGACAGTCAGGATGCCAAGATCTGTCAGTTCAGAAGGGTAGTTTCCCTAAAGGCGGGCAGCCGGCATTTATTTATTCAATCATTCAACAAGTAGTTTTCAAAGACTTAGTACATGCCAAGCACTGTTCTGGGTGCTGGGAATATGGCAGTAAACAAAACAGACAGAAATCCACATCATGGAGCTGACGTACAGTTGTGGCAGGTAGAAAACAAATGTCAGGGCGGTAAGAGCCACGGCAGGGAAATGGGCAAGGTGAGCCTGGGGTTGAGGTTTCACATCGGCCTGGCACATGACTGACAGTCTTTGGGAAGCTTTGTTTTCTGATTTAAGACGGTAAGGCAATGCATTTTCTCTAATTTCTAAAAATTGTCCTTAGTTAAGCTGTCAAAAGGATTGTCGTAAGAAGGCTAAATAGAATTCAGGTTCCCTGTGTTCTTATTTCCAAGGTCTTTTTTTGTTTGTTTGTTTTGTTTTTACCAACAAGCAGTGTTTTACTTGGCCAGGGTCAGCTTCCTCGAATCAGTTTCCTCTTCTGAAAGGCCGAGATGATTTTGGGAGCACCTTTTAGCTCTCATTATAGGGCTAGAGATTTTAACACTGAAGTTTATTTATTTATTTATTTATTTTATTTTGTAGGTTTGTGTGGTTTATTGTCAGGAGCTCCAGTGCTGGTGCAGGGCTATTATTAAGTCAATTGTGTCTTCAGCAGACCATTACCTGGCAGAATGTTTCCTCGTGGATTTTGCCAAGTATATTCCAGTGAAATCTAAAAAGTACGTATGAGTTGTTTTTGTTTTTGTTTTTTGCCTCGTGCTCTTTAAGGAGACAAATGTCAGTTTTAAAGGAGAGTGTCAATTTTCAAAGCAAGGGGATAGAGGTCATCAACTGGAATTTTTTTAGCCTCAAGACTTGTAGGTTCCAGCTCCACATGCAGCGAATGCAAGAGCAAGTGGTCAGAACGGAGGCTTAGCAGGCAGCTCCAGCCCACCTTCCACCTTCCTTCCTTCCTTCCTTCCTGCATCTCCTAGGTGCTCCTGGCCAGTTGCTAGCCTCCCTTTAAGAGGCCGGGACTCTTAGTTTGTTCATGTGTTGGCGTGGGTCTTTTAGGGAGGCGTGGCTGCAAGAAAGATGCTGCTGGGGGCAGAGAGAAACTTGTCTCCACAGAAAGGGCAGTTTGCTCGTACAGCCTCAGGTTGTGGAGACCATAGAGTATATTCAAGTGTGTATTCCTGGTTATCTTAACAAAGAGAGGGCATGACCATCACATAAGGTGGGAGATGTGCAGAATGAACCCTCACTGATTCCAGGACCACATGGCATAGTTCATTAGAAAACACTGTTAACAAGTCAATCTTGGTGTTTGTGGTTATTTTTTTAATAGCTTCCTGTCCCAGAGTCAGAGGATATCAGTTTAATAAATAAATATGGGACCCTTCTTCCAAAAGAGAAGCACCAAGTAGACTTCAATTGCAATAAGAGGTTTATTTTGAATAGAATGTAATGGCAGAAGGGCTTATCAGACATTGGGAATTCACAGATATTTTAGAAAAAAAAGATGCATTTCTAATTTGTGATTCTGCACCTTTGTAACAATAATTGTAAATATAACTATTGTATTAAACTGAGGCTATTTTCTTTTAGTATTTGGAGTTTTAAATTTACCGTATTTGCCGGCATATAAGACGATTTTTTGGCCCTGAAAAATATGCCTCCAAGTGGGGGGTCATCTTATATGCCAGGTACACTTCAGATAGACTGCCCATAGTGCTTGCCCCGTGCCATAGTGGCCTCCCGATGCCCGCCCACTTCATTCCACATACCGTTCAGGCATCAGCAGCGCTGCTGGGTGTATGCTCGGCTGTGTGCGATTTTGCGAGTGTGGTAAATTCGGGTTACCGTATATTTCTTTACATATGCATTGAAGATTCGCGATTTTGCGCTATCATGGTGCCTGTTAGAATGTTGAAGAGCTCGCACTTGCGCACTAGTGAGGTCCCAGGGAGATGCTGATGCAAGGGTGGACCAGACTGCTATAGTGACAGGGCGGGCAAACAGGGAGCAGGGACCAATCAAATCAGGCTTTGTATACAGCCAACAGCCAACCACAATACTGCACCATTGTACAGTACAGCATAGAAAATGTCGACCAGTCAAACCCCTATCATCCCTATCATGGCACCAGCCAAAAGAAAGAAGTATGATGCAAATTTTAAACTGAAAGTTATAAACTTTGCTAAGGAAAATAATAATTGTGCTGCTGCAAGACAATATGGAGTAACAGAAAAGATGGTTCGGGACTGGAAATCAAATGAGAAAGCATTAAAGAGTATGCCAAGGGGTAAGTGTGCATTAAGAAGAGGCACCCCACACTGGCCAGAACTCGAAAAACATGTAACAGACATGGTGGCTCAACATCGCCAAAACGGTTATGTGGTGACACGAAATACAATACGCTTGTTTGCACTTCAGTGGGCCAAATCAAATCTGTTTTTACCTTTTATTTGGTGTGTGGAAGGTGTGCGGAAGAGGGGGTAGTCTTATACGGCGAGTATATAACAAACTCTGTATTTTGAGTGGAAATGTTAGGGGGTCGTCTTATACGCCCAGTCGTCTTATACGCCGGCAAATATGGTAATTTGTTTTGGGCAAGAGAATCATGATTACACAGAGCACAAGGAAGTCTTGAGAGGGGAAGGCAATGCAGCCACCTTTTTCTGAACTGAGACAAAAGATGCCTACACTGCCCGGTTTGTGTCGAAGTGGCGTATTGCAGTGATCTGTCGTTTGTCTGAAAGAATGGAAATAAAAATGCTTAATCAGCTTCCTTATCAAATCTCAATCCTCCAGGTCTTTTGTGCGAGTTGACAAACACTAATTATTAAAACATCTACTCATTTACAAAAACTTTAAAGTAATTCTGGTCATGTATTGGAATGGATACTTAGAAATTTTAAATAGAATTTGCTTCCCAGGTTTGTTCATTATCACCCAGTGTTTTGCAGTGTATGGAGTCTCGTTAGACATTATTTTTCTAATCCCTCTCCACTCCCATGTCATGAAACTTTAACATTAAAGATACACTGAATATCTGTGTATATACTATGTGTATATGTATATGCTTTATGCATAAAATGAGTGATATTTTTTTCACCCCCTACAAACCAATTTTCACCTCTTCAGGCAAATGTCTCCCAAGTACTTTCTGCTGTTTGGTGGCTATACTAAAGAGAAAGAATTGGTTTTTGTGTGTTTTATGTTAAGTGTGTTAATTATATTGGTGTGCTCTAAAGAAGTATGTTATATATAATTTTTCTTTATAATGGCACTGTTTCTGTTTTGCTGTGAAGCATCCGAGTTGCAGTAGAAACTTTTATGCAGCTTCCCTATAGAGCGAAAAAATTCAGACTGTACTGCACGAAACCTGTCACATTACACATTGACTTCTGTGAAGACAGTGCTGAAATTGTGTAAGTACAGCTTCTGACATGTTGAATCATTAGTGAAAGTCTTAAACCAAGTATGTGATGCTTGTATGAAATTAACTCCTCTTGAGAAGTGCTAAGCGATTGTAAAGGTCTCTTTGTCCTTCAAGGGGTGTCTTCCGAGTCCGCGTGTGTCAAACCTGGTCATGAGCAGAATTCCCTGGGCAGCCCCATCTCCAGAGTTGGGGGCTGTAGAGCAGGGCCTGAGCCCTGTGCTTTTTGGCTTCTTCTTTTTTTCAACGTACAAAAAGCAATAAATCAACTGTAAAGAGAAACAATAGATAGGATCATGGAGCGTCAAAAAAAAAAAAAAAGGAAGTCTATTGCGTTCTTCTTCAGCCCACTTCCTCCCTCCTGGGAGGCCTCTGTGACCTTTTCAGTCTATGAACTTGTAGACTTTTTTTAGTGCTTTTATAAACAGGTACATGCACGGAGCTTTTAATGAAAATGAGAACATACTGTCTTATTTCCAAATTTAACTTAAGAACCATTGTTGAAGCCCTTTGTACCCCTTTCTACTTTGAGCCTTTTTCATGGGTGACTGTAATGGCATCCTTGCTGTATTTTTTTTTTTTTTAATTAATTAAAAAATTTTTAGCTGAGCCATCCTGCCACCTGTTGGCAGCTCAGCAGGAGCTCAGCTCGGGCAGGTCTCAAACCACTGTTGCTCAGAGCTCAAACCTTTGAGCGAGCTCTTAACCAACTGAGCCATTCAGCTGGCCCTCCTTGCTGTATTTTGACAATTCCTCTCTGGATAGCCAGCTAGGTTGTATACACACACACACACACACACACACACACACACACACACTCAGGAATCCTCAGAAAGGGGTCTACCCATTCTCAGCTTGTCTCTGCATTGGTGCAGGCAGCAGTGGTGAGAGGAGCAGCTGAGATCATCACCCCAGAGCAGAGCCAGAGTCATGCGCCCCCTTACCTGCATCCTATGTTCAACATGGAATGTCAGAAACATCCTGTGTATGGTTTACAAAATGATGTTGGTGTACTAGCCTCAGATTTTTATTTGCTGAAGTTGCATCTGTTCACTGTTTCAGACCCGCCCAGAAGTGGGACAGTGCAGCTATTCAGTACTTTCAGAACATTCTCAAAGGTAAGGCAAGTGTATGATCACTGCAGCCTGCTTTCAACTGACACCCAAGGTGGTTTCATCTTCTGTGGGTGAGGGGGTTTGAGATGTGAGTGCTTAGCGGATTGACCGTTCTCATATGGGTTCATAAAATTACCTGGGGCTTCTTAAACCCCAAAGTCACAGTGACTCTACACCCCTGGAATTCTGAGGGTGGATGTGGGCATCAGTAATTCACAGGTGAAGTTAGAAAGGGGCTGTTTGGGTGAGGGACCCTTGCACAATAATAATGCCTGCCTCTTAGTGTGCCAAGATGCTGAAGCATTGCAAGATAAATTTAGGTGCATTTCATTGAACCAACAGTTGATTAAAAGCCTAACTTACGGTGGAATCCTCATTATTGCTAATTTAAGATGCATAGAATGTCTCAAAGCATCTATGTAGTGTGCTGTCTTTATATTGTTGAGTGTAACATAGAGTCTCATTTGTGTCGTCTGTCGTAACCCTGTCAGTAAAGAGCCAAATAGCTGCCTACCTCCTAGAGCTGTTCTGAGGAGTAGTGGGTGTTAACTTGCCTGGGGTGCTGCCTGTACCTTTGGGGTGCTGGCCTCTCTCCTTTGCAGCCCCACTGTCGAGGTAAAGGAACAGCCAGATGCTTTGCACCTGGGAGAAATGGGAAGGTCGCTGGCTTTGGAGTTTTGGTCCTTGTGAGTCCATGGAGGGGATGCTGGTAGAGGTTCGGAAGACACAGAGCACCTCGGTTTGCCCTGTTACTTCTGGGTAGCCTTCTCTGAGTCTGGTCTTTTCACCTGTACAGTGACCCTGAAAGGTTGTGTTGAGAGTGAAATGAAATACGTTTGTAGAGGTTTTAGCATAGTGTCTGATAGGTACCCATACGTGGAGCTGCTGTTTGGATTATGAAGTCTCAGAGAGAGTAGCTGAGAGCTCTGATTCATGACCACTTGGAGGGGTAGAGGGACTCAGATGAAAGACTGTGACTGGAAATGATTTGCGAGTCACTGGAAGAGAAGAGAGGGCCAAGAACTATTCTCCAGGAGGTGTTCATAGGGCGGCAGGAGGAGATGCTGTGGATGGGGACAGAGGGTACGAGTCTGACTCCATGCCAGGGGAGCTCCCCCTTGACTCACTCATGTCACCCCAGACCCCTTCTGCTCTAAGATTCACTTGCAGGAGGAAGCCATCGGAATTGTGCTGGGTAATCGGAAGTGGTTAGCAGAGATTAGTCATCATTGTTTCAAGTATACTTTTATATCAGCTCATTTATGTTTTCATTTATGCTATTTAGCAACTACCCAGGTGGAAGCCAAATTGTGTGCTGTGGAAGAAGATACTTTTGAGGTTTATCTTTATGTAACTATAAGAAATGAAAAAGTAAGTGAAAGAATTGTATTTTAAAAATATTTTATCATTATTAAACATTTTTATTTTGTTAAAAGAAAGAATAAACACTGAGGGAAACAATGTCATTCACACAGCATAGAAATTTTCTTAATCTTTCAAGGTCTGGCTTAGATCAGAAGTTAGCCAGGTTTGTGTTTTCTTCTTTTAACTATTTAAAAAGAAAATTAACTGTAGTGTTTTATTTAGACAGCATTTTATGTAGTAATGGACAAGCAATTATTGCTATCGTGATGGGTATTAAATGTTATGTTCTTATAAGAGGACATAATTTTTGTAAATACATACATTTGGTATGGTTTTAGTTCACTGCCTTTTTCCCCCCATAATTTTCTCATTGTGTGTAATATATGCTCATTGTAAAGAATTCAGATAACACAGTAGAAAGAAAGTGGACATCACATGTGAGCCCCGCCTCCCACTCCCCCCCATTAGCTGTTAACATCCGTCTGGCTGCCTTTATGAAGGGTGGCACAAGGGTGCAGCTCAGACTGTGTGTGCAAGTAGATATAGGTGCAGATCTAGGCTCTCGGGACCAACAGAGGGCATCTAAACCATGGATTTACGTTATTTAAAAGTTTATTTTGAAATAGCTTTACACTTAAGAAGAGATGTGAAAACGGTGCACAGTTTTGTATATGCTTTACCTGGGTTCCCCTAATGTCAACCATACAAACCACTGGCACAGCGATTTAAGACCAGAAAATTAACACTGATAAAATGATATTTTTAGAAAATCTACAGACCTTATTTGAATTTTGCCAGTTTTCCCACTAATTTCCTTTCTCTGGGCTAGGATCTCCCAGAATCCCCCACTGCATTGATTGTCATGTCTCCTTAACCTGTGACAGTTCCTCAGTTTTTCCTCATCTTTGAAGACTTTTGAACACTTCTGAAGAGTACTGGCCAGTTATTTTGTAGAATGCCACTCGATTTGGGTTTGTTTGATGTTTTCGTATGATTAGATTAAGGTTCTACATTTTTAGTAAGAGTGTTACAGAAGTGATAACGAGTGCTTCTCAGTGCATCATGGGAGAAGGTTCATGATGTTGATATGTCTTCTTACTAGTCATGTCAACCTTGATCAGCTGGGTAAGGTGGTATCTGCTAGGTTTTTTCTCTAAAGAGTTACTGTTGTTTTTCTTTTGAAATTATTAAGTGTTTTATGGGGAGATACTTTGAGACTGCAAATATCCATCAGTGAGTCTTGCCTGCAAAACTTATTTCTGTGGTGTTTGCCCATTTCCATCATGTCGTCTACATTTTAAATTGGAATTATCCCTTTTCCCCATTTATTAATTGATTCAATAATTAATCTTAGTATGGGCTCCTGGATGTTTATTTTACTCTGGGGAATATACTCCATTACTATCATTATTTTCTTGTTCAGATTGTCACAGATTTGTCCATTAGGAGCTTCTTCAAGGTGGCATATGCGTTATTTCAATGTGCCCCATCATTGTTGAAAACGCCCTACTTTCTGGTACTACAAGGTACTCCTGGTTAATTTGGTCATTTTCCAGCCCCAGCCCTAGAATCAACCACTTTTCCAAGAAGTGGTTCCTTTTATTGAAAAATGGTATTTAGATTTCAAGGTGAGGGTGCTAGGTGTGCTCATTGCTACTGGGTGTCATTGATTGTAGGGCCTCTCAGCAGACCGTTAGGAAATATGTGTATGTATGCTACCCCATGCACACACACGTCCACATTTGTTTCCAGATCTATCCATTTGTACATGTATTAACAGTTCTGGTACCTCTGATTTCAATCCAGCACCCCCCTTTTCCTCATTCTTGACACGTGTCTCTGACAGTGAGAAACCTGCTGTTGTTAGCTACAATATATGTATTTGACTCACATAAAGTAATTTCAGAATTGCTAACCCACATTCCTGTGAAAAAGAAATTGGCCTTTAGCCTTACAGCAGGCGGCCACAGCACTGTTTCCCAAAATAACTTACGTTTGTTCTTTTCTTCCCTACCCTCTTCAGTGTGATTTTGTTTATAATCAAGTTCATTTGTTATTCTTTGTGTCGGATTTTGGGTTCCTCCCCATCCTTGTTGATTTTACCTATGACTTTTCATTACCTATTTTACAACTTGGTAAAAATGCCTAAATGTTGGCTCTGTCTTACAAGACAGGACCAGTCTTGTAAACAAACGTTTTTTTAAACAAGTTCTCTACTGACCTGCTTCTTTATTCTTGTTTTTCAATAGTAGGTCTCCCTTTCTCCCTGTATATGGTTGTGTGTGGATGATAACTTGCTCTTACTTCAAGGTGGTGAAGTGCAGAGGGCATATTTAGCAGAGAGAACTTCCTGTGGATGCAGGAGGTCAGAACTGCCAGAAAGAGAAAAATAGGTCAGACAGTCCTTTTCCAGCTCTCAAAGGAAGCACAAGGATGTATCCCAGGGCGTTCTCTTTTTTTTCGCCTGGCTTCTTTCACTCAACAAAATTATTTTAAGATATATCCACTTTGTTCCTTTTATTGTCAAATACTGTTTCATTGTCTAGTTATAGTATAGTGTGTTTATCCATTCACTTGCCGATGGACATCTGATTTGTGGCCAGTTTGAATAATTACAAATAAGACTGCTATGACTATTCATGTACAAGTCTTCCTGTGGACCTGTGCTTTCGCTTCTCTTGGGTAAACACTGGGAGTCAAACTTTTGGATGCTGTTGTAGGTATTAAGAGACTACCAAATTGTTTTCCAAAATGGTTGACCGTTTACAACCCAATGTATGAGAGAGCGACTTCCTCCATGTCCTCTTCAACACTTGCACGGTCGTTCTTATAGGTCTGTAGTGGTATCTCATTGTAGTTTAAATTTGCATTAAACTCATGATTTGCGCTAAAATCATGATTAGTGATGGTGAACATCTTCTCACATACCGGTTGGACATCTGTATGTCTCCTGTGGAAAAATGTCTTTCCAGATCTTCTGCCCATTTTTAATTGGATTGTTTGGTTTTTTTGCTGTTGAGTTATGTGAGTTCTTCACACATTTTGAATATTAGCTCCTAATCAGATATGTGATTTGCAGATATTTTCTCCTATTCAGTAAGCTACCTCTTCATTTTGTTGATGGTTTCCTTCACTGTGCAGAAATTTTTTATTTTGATTGACCCACTTGTTTATTTTTGCTTTTCTTTCCTTTGTGTTTGGTACAAATCCAAAAAAACCATCACCAAGATCAATGTCAAGGAGATTATACCACCTAGGTTTTCTTCTGGGAGTTTTATGGTTTCAGGTCTTACATTCAAGTCTTTAGATCCATGTTGAGTTAATTTTTGTATATGGCGTAAGATAGTTGTCCAGTTTCATTCTTTTGCATATGGCTGTCCAGTTTTCCTAACACCATTTACTGAAAAGACAGTCCTTTTTCCATTGTATATCCTTGGCTCCTTTGTCATAAATTAATTGATCATATACGTATGGGTTTATTTCTGGCTGTCTATTCCGTTGATCTGTGTGTCTGTTTTTATGCCAGTACCATATGTTTTGATTACTACCTTTTGCCCATTTTTTAATTGGGTTATTTTCTTTTTATTGAGTTTTGAGAGTTGTTTATATATTCTGGATACACATCCACCCAAATCTATTATTTATAAATATCTTCTTCCTATGTTTTGATTGTCTTCAACAGTATCTTTTGAAGAGCAGAAATTTTAAATTTTGATAAAGTCTATCAGTTTTTCCTTTTATGATTTGTGTTTTGTCTTTGCCCTCCCCCTAGCAAAATCATGTTAGCGCTCCAGTGCTTTTAAAAGAAGATATTTCTTATATTTCATATAGATTCTTAACCTTTTTTCGCTTTTTTTTTTTTTTTAGCTGAGCCATCCTGCCACCTGTTGGCAGCTCAGCTTGGGCCGGGAATCAAACTGCTGTTGCTCAGAGCTCACCCTCTTGAGCGAGCTCTTAACCAACTGGGCTACTCAGCTGGCCCTTTAACTCTTTTTCTTATCAGGAGGGCTGGTCAGAAGTATCTAGTTCACCATCACCAGTGCAGAAGTCACAAGATCTATTTCTGTCAAATTATGTTTTATAAAATAATTTTTCTGAATATTGAAATTGCAGTTAAATTTAGAATATTTTTTTGAACAGTCACTTGATTATATATTTATCTTATTCACAAAATGTTTAAAATTGTACAGGTTTGTGTTAATGATGATCTGGTTGCAAAGAACTTCGCTTGTTATGTATCACCCACGGAGAATAAAAACCTTGATTCTTTAGAGAAATCAAGATTGAATATAAAGTCAGCATCCTTTTCCAATAAACTCAACCCGGCACTTACTCTTTGGCCAATGTTTTTGCAAGGAAAAAATTCTCAAGGAATGGAAAGTGAGTAGCTTCTCATCAGTATATGTTTCCTTTAAACTGTCTTATTTATAGAAATCTTAGTGTGTTGATATATATACTCATAAGTTGTTAGATAGGCTTTTACCTTTATGGAAACAGTGACTTGGACTCTGAATGTAATATATATATTTTTTAAAGTTGGTTTTTGTTTGTTTGTTTTTTATTGGGGAATTGGGGGATGGGAACAGTGCTGGGGAATTGGGGAAAGGGGAACAGACAAGTTGCTGTCGTTTTGTTCTTCAGTCTAGTTGTGGAGGACGTTGCTTCACTGGCCCAAGTTGGCACCATCATTGCGCTCTTCCCAGGTGAGGCAGATCAGTCGCCGGCTTCTGGACGGCCGCTCACTGCGGCTGCTGGCCGCTCACGCTGGCTGCTGGCCACACATGGTAGCCCATGGCAATCCACTGCCACAGGGACTGCAGCCCACGCCGTCGCCGGCGACTCATGGCAGCCCAGCTCCAGATTGAGCTGTTGTTCAGCATCTTAGCTGTGGAGGGCAGTGTCACTGGCCCTCATATGCGAACCGGGGCCCTCTGGCATCCCAAGCGAGTTCTTAACCATCGCGCCACTCGGCCGGCCCTCTGAATGTAATATTTTAATCCTAGTGAGTTTGTGACAAGCTCTGATGTCGTAAAGCTGCTACAGCGTGTTTTTGTGAGAACAGGAAAAAGCTATTCTCAATTTCTTATTAACATGGAGTTTTATTTTCAGAAGTCTGTGTGTTCCTAATTTAAAGATACTACCAAAACAAGGTTTTGTTTGTTGAGTTTTAGATACTTTTAAAAAGAGCTATTTATTTCTTTATTAGCATGGAAACATGAGAAGAGTCCACCATGGACAATGAAATAACTTTACATGTTTCTCTCTACATTCGGTTTTCTTTAGCCCCTTCACAATGCTCCCCACCAAGGCGCAATGCCTCCTATAACCTTATAGCAAAAGTAAGAGCAGAAGTGTACCAGCGAATTCACATTTCTCTTTTGGGTTTTATTTCATGCTGTAATCCTGAAATGTGTTCTTTCTGTCAGAATCACAGGGTTTAACTTTTCTGGAGCAGTCACTTCAGCATCCGTGGCCCAAGCATGTTGTGGGTGACCCAGGGCCAACTGCCACGATCCTGGGTAAGTTCTGCTTGCTTGCTTCATTTCATAGGCGGCATAAAATGTGAATACTCTTAACTGTCTAAAGACTATAAGGGTTGTTTAGAAGGGCTGTGGTAGTTCTCTCTCGTCTTTCTTTCTTCATTTAATGGAACCAAATATGATGTCGATTGCTGACAAAGAAAATTGGCCTTGTAGTCCATACTTACAGGATTTTATGATAACGTAAGGAACATAACAAGCACTTGTTCGTGTGCAGGACTGATTTATTCCAGCCTAGCCATAGATCAGTGATTATTATATGTCCTCAGAGTACACATGCAGATTTATGATTGATTTTTATTTTAAGTAATAGGATGCATAAAAATACGAAAGAGGCATTTATGAGGGCATAGATACCCTGTCTTTAATTCCATATCTTCAAGTTAGTAAATGAATTGTTATTGCTGGACAAGGGTGAAATCTGCCGGCCTCTTGGATGCTTGACTCACCTGTGTGGTAATTCCTGCATGAGTCCACTCCTGCATTGGGTGTATGTTTACCTATGGGTGTGATATTTCATATATATCCATAGTGAATCTCGAGTATATTAACGCTTTAGTCAACTAAATAAAAGTATTCCCTACACTTAAAGTTATTTTTGGTTACTTTGGTAATGTTGTTCATCATAGAAAAATACACATAATCAAAATTTTAAACGCCTGTCATCTTTTATACCCTACTTATTAAAATTTTAGAGTCTTTTTTTCCCCAAAGGTTTCCAGATGTGAGGGTGTATATATAATTTTTATTTTATGGAAATAGGATTCTACTATACATACCTCTGCGTTAGTGTTTTTCACTTAATATATGACTGAACTTGTTTCTAGGAAAAATGTGTCCAGTATGACATGGGTTTAAGGATATGGGCTCTTACTTGAGACTCTGAGGATGTTAGTCCCACTGCCTCCTCTGTGACATGGGAAGGCATTATTCCTGTGCTTTGAGTTGGTTAGGTGGGCCATCCATGGTACAGAGTTTGGCACAGTGGCTGACCTGTGGCAGCCTTTTGGCACAGGTGGCTCTGTCTCATGCTGATATGCCTCATGTAGGGGTCCCAGGTGAGAATTCCTGCTAAAAGGAGCCCCTGCTGGAATGTATTATTTCCACCTGTATTTCTTTCAGTTTCATTGGAGCAGGAACAATACCAGGCATTTACATCACGTTTAATCATTGCACAGCTCCCTTTCTTTTAAAGTTTTTTTATTGGGGGAACAGTGTGTTTTTCCAGGACCCATCAGCTCCAAGTCAAGTAGTTGTCTTTAATCTAATTGTGGAGGGTGCAGCTCCTTGGCACATGTGGGAATAGAACTGGCAACCTTGGTGTTATGAGCCTGTGCTCTAACCACCTGAGCTAACTGGCTCCCCTGACTCCAAGTAGTTGATTGGTTGTTTCAGTCTAGTTGTGGAGGGCGCAGCTTCGCGGCCCATGTGGGGATCGAACCGGCAACTTTGGTGTTATGAGCCTGTGCTCTAACCACTTGAGCTAACTGGCCGCCCCTCAGATAGCTTTTTATCACTATTTTTATTTTGCAGATAAAACTATAAACTGTAAAATGGATTCGTTGAGAAGCTCACCTAAAAAAAATGAAAAGAAACAACAGTGCGTCTCTTTAAAAGATGTAAATAAGGTTGTATTTTTAAATGTTCTTTATAAAGTTCATACGATGTTAATTTTAGAATATTCTCATTTAAAACCTTCTAGGAACCAAAACTATATTTTCTGTTAAAAAATCATTGGCTAATTTCATTTACGAAAAAATATAGTTTGTATGTTTGTTCTGTTTCAAAGGAACAGGATAACTCAGCTCCCCTTCTTGTTCTTGGCCTAGTGGCCTCTCTACAAAATTGGGTATTTATTCTCATTTTAACAAGGGTGTGAAAATCTGGGATTATGGGAAACTCTAATAGTTAAGTTCAAGTCTAACCTGTTCCTCCAGTTCCTTTGACAAGAGAGGTGAAAGTAATTACAGGAATTTTAAAATACTGATTATCTAAAATGCCATCTGTCTGGAATTTGGACACTTCAATCTAGTGATTATTGCAATGCCATAATCACCCAGCTTTCCAGTTCTCTGTCTCTCTGTAACTGTGTTGCCTGAAAATTATCTGGGGTGATTGTTTATGAGAATAATTCCCATGGGATTTTGATGCCAAGAATATATATCTTGTTTGCATACATATTCTTTCTAAAACAATTTTTTTTACAGTGTGTTGAATCTTCAGTATACTGGCCAACAAAAAGAGGCATAACCATATATGCTGATCCAGATATACCAGCAGCCAGGTATGATTTGAAAATTGACTAGAAACTTAAGTGTAGTATTGTGTTATACAGTGTTCTATAAAATTGATAAGAAAGCATTCAATTTCAAAAATAAGACTGGCCCCAGAAATTTTGATTAAACATTTATTAATTTAAAAGAAAAACTTTGTGACAACTGGTTGGCAGCACAATTGACCAAAAACTGGTAGTGGCTCTAGAGCAGCGGTTCTCAACCTTCCTAATGCCGTGACCCCTTAATACAGTTCTTCATGTTGTGGTGACCCCCAATCATAAAATTATTTTCGTTGCTACTCTATAACTGTAATTTTGCTGTTATGAATCGTAATGTAAATATCTTTTTGTTTTCCGATGGTCTTAAGCGACCCCTGTGAAAGGGTCGTTCGATCCCCAAAGGGGTCGCAATACACAGGTTGAGAAGCTGCCTAGAGTCTCCTTGTTACCTTATCAGGCATAGTTTACATAAAGCAGGTCCAACAAAGTTCTCTTGATGTAAATGATGCACAATGTGGGCCAAATGGCAATAAAGGTTGGTGGAAAGCAAAGGATAGTTTGTTATCTTCTTGAAGATGAGTATCAAAGACTTTTGACTGTAACCCTGTCCTCATCAAGAAACATGTCAGTGAAATTAATGAAGTCACAGAAAGGATGTAATATACCACCTCACATGTAGTGTAAAATCTTAAAACAGTATGCTTCCATTTCTTTCCTCCTGGACTTTATGCTAGTGTTGTCATACATTTTATTTACACAGCTGTTATAGATGCTAGACTATTATCATTTTTATTTAAACAGTTATCTTTTAGAGAGATTTAAATAAATAAGATAATCTTAAATATTCACTTAAGTACTTACATTAAAGCTTTTTGCTTTTTGTGTAGATCCAGTTTTCTATCTGGTATCATTTTTCTTCTATGTGAAGGACTTTCTTTACTATTTCTTGGATTGTGTGTCTGCTGGTAATGAATTCTATCAGCTTTTATTTGTCTGAAAAATTATTTCAGCTTCACTTTTGAGAAAAAGTATTTTTGCTAGGTATAGAATTCTAGGTTGATAGTTTTCCTCCACTGTATTTTAAAGATGTGGCCCCACATTCTGCTTGCTTGCATTGTTCCTAGTGCAAAATCTACTGTCATTTTCTTTGTCCTGTTTGCAACATATCTTTTTCCTCTGATGGCTTCTAAGATTTTCTCCTTTTTACGGGTTTGAGCAATTTAATTATTATATGCCTTGGTGTCTTTTCTCTCATTTTTTTAATGCTTGGGGTTCATTAAGGTTCTTCATTTATGAACTTGTCATTAAGGTGCTTCATTTGTAGGTTTCTGTCTTTCATCAAATTTCAGATGTAGTCAGAAGTTATTCTATAAATATTTTTTCTGCACCAATCTTTTTCTCCTCTCCTTTTGAGACTGATGAGACTTTCCAAAAGGTCCTGGGGCTCTGTTCATTTTTTCAACCTTTTTTCTTGCTATTCTTTAGATGAACAATTCTATTTCTCTCTCTTCAACTTAATTGACTCTTGTTATCTCCATTCTGCTATTGAGCCTATCCAGTGAACTTTTTATTTGATGTATTATGTTTTTCAGTTCTAAAATTTTCATTTTTTTGTAGTTCATATTTCTTTGCAGAGAACTTTTATTGTTCCTCTCAAAAGTGCTTATCTGTCCTTTTTTTGTGGAGCATGGCTGTAACAGCTGCTTCAAAGTGTTTGATAATTACCACTTTTGAACCATCTTGGGGTTGGCACTTGCTGATTATCTTTTCCTTTATACTTGATCTGATTTTCCTGGTTCTTTTTATGTTGAGTAATTTTGGATTGTATTCTGGATATTTTGAATATTATGATGTGAGGCTCTGGTTTCCGTTAAAGTCTTCTGTAGAATATTAATTTTGTTGTTTTTGTTCATTTGTTTTAGCAGGAGGTCAACAACCTCCTTATGTTCAGACCTCAATTCTGTCTCTTTCTGTGGGTGTTGATTGTAACATTAGCTCAGTTTCCCAATCTTTAGTATGCAGCTTGGGTCTGTACTGAATGTGCTCAACTTGGGGTGAGCCTGGGATTTATGTTGGGCCATACACAGAAATAGGGGATTTCCCCTCTTCTATGTCTCTCTCTTTTTCAGGATTTTCTTCACATTCACCATTTTCCAGATGCTCCCTCTTCCTGTTCCAGGTAGATGGTTTCTGTCTGAGAAATTGCTATGTGGTTCTGTGTGATTGGGGCCGCTTGTGGAGCAAAACAGCAATAGAAATGAGAGGGGGAAAAAAGATGGAGATTGCCCCTACACAGTCTTTAGACCATGGGCTCCCTGTTTCCCAGTTCCTCTAGAGCAGCAGTTCTCAACCTGTGGGTCGCGACCCCTTTGGGGGTCGAACAACCCTTTCACAGGGGTCGCCTAAGACCATCGGAAAACAAAAAGATATTTACATTACGATTCATAACAGTAGCAAAATTACAGTTATAGAGTAGCAACAAAAATAATTTTATGGTTGGGGGTCACCACAACATATGAGGAACTGTATTAAGGGGTCGCAGCATTAGGAAGGTTGAGAATCGCTGCTCTAGAGGTAGGGGAACATTTTCTCTTAGGGTTTTAGGTGGCCGCACAGCTGTTGCCATTGTAGCATGCAGTACTATGATCAGAGCTGGCCTTGGGCAGAGCCAGGAGAGGAAAAAAGGAAGAAAAATCAGTTAGGGTTCCCCATACCCTGCTCGAAGCCTCCCTTCCCGGTTCTCTGGCTTGAAATAGAGGGTTTTTCTCAGAGTTTTTGTTGTCTACATCCTCTACAGAGTTCTAAGTCTCAGGCCACGCTCAGGTCAACACTAAGAAATAGAAGGTAAAATTCCAGGAAACTGTCCATGATTCTGGTTGTTTTTTACATTTTAACTTCTTGCTTCTCTAGTTTGTATTTTATCTGGTTTCTAGTGATAATCAGTAGCAGAGAGGGGCTATAGTGGGCTTACGTCCTCTTGGCAAGCACCAAAATTGTCAAAATGATTTGATACTTAAAGGGCTCAGCTCCAGTTCTCACATAAATTTACCTATATACAACAACTTATTCCTCAGTGGTACTTTTTAAATTTTCTCCCAGAAAATAAAGGTATTTTCAGGATTGGGGTAAATGGGTTTAGAAATTTCAATAAATTGTTTTTTTTATTTCTAGTGCTTTATGTCAGAAGTCAAATGATAAACCACTTAGATTGACTGAGAAGAACGAATACAATGAGAAGAATGGCTGTGTGAAGTATGAATGCTTTCCTTGGCCTGAATTTTTTATTGAAGTAATGGTGATAAAATTATAAGCAGAGAGAATTTACATATGATTTTAGTATTAATTTCAAACCTATGTCCCCATTAACAAACATGCCTGCAGTGTCTTCTGCAGGCTTTGAAGTTAGGGTTTTTTTCCGTTTATATACGGTAGATTTTCCTGTTGAAAGCTCTGTTCCGTGGTAAAGAGTCATTTTCTGCCTCCCCTTCCTGATTCTCTTGGTGAAGTGAACAATTTTATGAAACAAATTAGGTATCGTTGATCTTTTGGGGCTGTTGAGTTTATATGGGTTGGTATTTGCTTTCTTCCAAGTTTTCTGATGTTAAACAGGTTTATCACCTGCTAGGGAAACCATTTATTTTCAGTGTGGAACTTGGGGATATTTTTTGTCCTGCCAGATTCACAAAGTATTCACTTACAAGTTGTTAACAATAGAGTCATAACTTCACTTTATACTTGTTCAATCCACAAAATATTTCATACCTGTTTTTAAGATTTCTTACCATACCAGCCTAAAAACACTCTTACATGTATATTCCAAGTAACTGCTGCTGCTTTGAAGTCACAAAAAGAACTAAAGACAGTTCAGAAGTGGGAAGGTCATGCTGTATCTACTAATTGGCGTGAAATGATTTAGGATGCCCGTCTTCCCAGATGCCAGCCACACTGTGGCCCTGTAACATCCCGTCATCCAGAAGGAGCTTCTCACAGTGGTTTTCAGGGGCGGTGGTTTTATAACTTAGTTGTAATATTGACGTGGTCATGGGAGGAGGTGAGCACAGCATTTACCTACTCCGCCATCTTGACCGGAAGTTCAGGAGCTGCTCACAGTGTTCCAAGGCCCGGGGCTTTGCAGGCTGCCGTGGAGCCCACAGATCTGGGGTGGCACCTGAGTTGACATCCTCCTCCTGGGGCATCCCTCCACCCTCATACCTGTAACACCTGTGGTGTTACAAGTGGTTCTTTTCCTTGGAACAAAAGACCTTGCGTTATCCAAATAACTCATTTCTTTCTTTTATTACATGAAAGTATTACTTAGTAAATTAGCCCTGAAATAACTCTATTGCCTTTTATATTTGTGTTAGAAGGTTGTATTTTATCTCCTATTTGGCCAAATGCGCTTTACTTAGTACCCACTGATTAAATTACATCAATGATTCTACTGTGGGTTACAGAGAGCTTTGAAGTGTTCAAGATTAAACAGCAAAGAAGGAAGGAGGCAATGGGTTTATTAGGAACATGTGATGACCTGGTGGTCCTTCTCATGAAGTCCTCCTTCTTCTTCAGAGCTGGTGGTCCTGTGATTGGCAGCTCTGTGTCCACAGCCTGGGGGCTCTGGTGGGTGGGGAAGCATGGGACTGGCATGACCCACCCACCGTGGCACAATAAACAAAGCAAAATAAAGTGAGCAGTGATTTCATAACTGTGCTTTGGGATATATAGTTCACTTTACTTATGTTAAGGAAGAATTAAAATAATAGTTCAGTTAAAGAAATAGAAACACTTTTTTTCCTTTCAAGTTGCCCTTTCACTATTTTACAGATTATTGCAATTTTTAAATCCTGATCCTTTGAGAGCTGATGAAATCTCTGATCTACAGCAGGTATTACAACTCTAAAAAAATAAAAATAAAAAAGAAAGAAAACTGTTTACTCTTTAAATCCTTCTTCTTCCTCCCTCTAAATTTGAGATTAGAAGAGAAACCTATTGGGGACTTTACCTGAAGACATCCTTTTAGAAATTGTCTAGTGAATTATTGCTTTAGAGAAATTTTTTTTTTAAAGATTTTTATTGGGGAATTGGAGGAAGGGGAACAGACAAGTTGCTGTCATTTTGTTCTTCAGTCTAGTTGTGGAGGACGTTGTTTCACTGGCCAAAGTTGGCATCATCATTGCGCTCTTCCCTGGCGAGGCACATCAGTCGTCGGCTTCTGGACGGCCGCTCACTGTGGCTGCTGGCCGCTCACTCTGGCTGCTGGCTAAATACGGTAGCCCATGGCAACCCACTGCCACAGGGGCTGCAGCCTATGCCGTCGCCGGCAACTCATGGCAGCCCAGCTCCAGGTTGAGCTGTTGTTCAGCATCTTAACTGTACAGGGCAGTGTTACTGGCCCTCATATGTGGGATCCGAACCGGGGCCCTCTGGCATCCCAAGCCAGTTCTTAACCATCGCACCACTCGGCCGGCCCGAGAAATTTTTAATTCATTGTTTTTTTTGTTTGTTTGTTTCTTAATTGGGGTAATAGATGATCTTCCTTTCATTTTGATATAATAGTTTTGGTTATTTTTGATAAGCATATACACCTAGGTGTTTTACATTGATATCAAACTCCTGTATTTTCTTTATTTCCATAAAGTTCTTGATATTCTGTACTAATACTGCAGGACAGAGTTGTCTAACATACATGTTTTCTAGAGGCAGAAGTTGAAGTTGGGCACACAGCAGCCCTTCACAGTGCTCCGGAACAAGATCGATCCTTGCTTATCCATTGACACGTCGCCACTTTCGGCAGACGTGAAAAAGGTAGACGTGCTTCTATCAATAAAACCAAACTCAAGAAGGAATACTGACCTAATGTAGAAGGATTTTTAATAAACGCTTCTAAGGTTGCATTCATATAATTGCTTTGCTTTTGAAATTCTTGTTTAAGCTTTTATTATTAATTTCTTATTTATTCTTAAGTCCAGGTTAACTTCTTAGAAGTGAATAATTTTTTGTGTGGAGAAATCACTGTTTAACTTTTAAGTGCTTTTCTAAATTAAGTTTTCAAATGTGGCTGTGGAACGGGGCTTGGAAGGAACAAGTTGCCAAGGAAATTATAACATATTTTTTAGCATTTTTTTTCAAAATTGCTTTATAGATCTATGGTTTCACTTAGTAAATTGATCACACGTGTTTATCTACTTCCTACTTGATACAAAAACAACAGCTTAAAATTTTTTTAAAAAAAGAAAGGAAGCTAGAACCACAGGGATAAGTAGAATGAGAGGGAAGTTTTTCGGAAAAGAGCTTTCCACAGGCTTTGAGGAGATGGAAAACAGGCAGCACAATACGGCTGACATGCCCAAGGAAGGAGGGAAATTGGTGGGGTCGTGCACTTCCCTACCCTGTTTCCTGAACACCTGTATCCAGTTTCTCAGGAAGGAGATTGGAGGCTCTTTTTGGAGAAACTGAATGGCCCTAGAGAAAGACCTTTGATGACACTGTTTGGAGTTCTCCCAGTAAAAGTGTCTGCTTGCTGCCCTGTCTTCCTGCAGTGATGTGACACTCATATGGGGATGAGCTTTGCCTCGCCCATGGGTCTTTCTTGTCATCTTTTAGTGCCCTTCCTCAGCCTGAACAGAACTTCTGGGATTGTTAGACAGTGAGGAAAGCCCTCACCTAAGGGGAAAAAAACTAAAACAACTCCAAAGGCAACAAACAATATAGAAGAAAACATGAGAAAATAAATATACTCAGAGATAAGAGAAGATATATTTTGCATGTATTTAACAATAACAGGGTACTGTCGAAAAGGAACAGTCGGGGGATAAAAAAAGGTTCCTGGGAATTCAAAATGTTATAAAAATAAAAATCAATAGTAGATTTGAGTGGTAAAATAAAAGCTATCAGGAAGTGGAACAAAAAGACAGATGGAAATGAGGAGCAAAAGAAACTTTGAGGTCCAATATCTGAAAACGGGATTTCTAGAAAGAAACAACAAAATATGGCAGAAAAATCTTGAGGAGAGTAACACATGAATGATTTTCAGACTTAATGGGTATGACTCTCCAAATTAAGAGAATCTACCTACCACAGGCCCAGCACAATTTAGAAACAAGATAGTGACATGTTGTTGTGAAACATCTAAACTGGACACTTCAGACATGAGACCTTCCAAAGAGAAGAAACTGGTCTCATACACATGATCAGGAATCAGAATGTCTTCAGACTTATCCAGAGTAACCCTAGAGGAGCATCGACCCCAAAATTTGCATGCAAAGTTATTTCTAATCTAGAGGTCTATACTCAAACTATCAATGAAGTGTGAGGGTAGAATGAAGACATTCTTATTTGTAGAATGAGACAAAGTCTCAGATTTACTTCCTCTGTACCCTTTGTCAAGAAGCTACTGAAATATGTTCTCTACCAACACAAGAAGGTAAACAAGAAAGAAAATGGTGTGAGTTGCAAATGAGAGGGTGATGGTGCAGGAAGATCCCAGGATGATCACTGCATACCAGGTGCAGAGAGGAGTTAGTCCCGTTTGCAGTGAGGTTTAGGGCCTGGAGAGGAGGACTTCCCAGAGATCATGGTGCTGATAAGGTCAGCTTTTTGGAAGGTAGTATCAATGTGGCTGGAGAACTCTACCCTGTCGGAACATTTGGGAGGTTTTAGTGACAGCTATGTAGAAAAACAAAACCATGTTTTTAAAAAGCTTTACAGGGCCGGCTGAGTGGCTCAGTTGGTTAAGAATGCGATCTCTGAGCAACAGGGTCACCGGTTCGATTCCCACATGGGCCAGTGAGCTGTGCCCAAGCTGAGCTGCCGCTGAGCTGCCAACAGGTGGCAGGATGGCTCAGCTTGTGAGAGCATGTACTCCTAACAACAAGGTTGCCAGTTTGACTCCCACATGGGTTGGTGGGCTATGCCCACTTGCAACTAAGATTGAATATGACACCTTGAGCTGAGCGGCTGCGAGGTGCCGATGGGCAGCTGGATGGTGACTGGACTTGGAGCTGAGCTAGCTGCGCCCTCCACAACTAAGATTGAAGGACAACAACTTGGCTGTTCTCCTTCCCTAATTCCCCAACACTGTCCCCCTTCCCCAATTCCCCAATAAAATCTTAAAAAAAACAAAACAAAAAAACTTTACAAGTGAGCTGATGCACCTGCAGATTATTAGAAGAAGGAGAAGAAGTCACATCCTTGCTCTGGTGAGCTTTAGGGTCCTGGTTAGTTAGTGGACCACCAATTGGATCCTTTTAATCTGGAGCCCAGAAACACAGGAGTTTGATGCTAGAAAAGATTCCGTGGTACTTAAAAAGTTAGGTCTTGGGAAATACTAGAGTGACCAATGTATACTTGTTGGGGGCTAAATGAACACTAAGAGGGGGTTTTATTAGTTTTCTATACTTTATTGTGGTTTTTTGGTTGTTGTTGATGTTTTGTAGGCTCTTCAAAGAAATAAGTTTCTGGGACCTAACCACACTGAATCTTACTCCTGGCCTCCCATAGCACGTGGCTGTGATGTGGTTGTCATTTCCCAGTGTGGAAATGACCCTTCATTGTACCTTCCACCAGTGCTTACGATTTTGCAAACGGGGGGCTGCTACCAGTCATTACCGAGTAGAAATGGAGTAAGTTGAAGACAATTTTGTTTCACAACAAAATGGATTAAATATTTATTTTTAAATTTTACACCTAACCTTTGGTAAAGTTTAGGTTACATTACTCATTTAGTTTCCAAATGGGCAGGACAAAAACCGTCCTATGAGAAACTTTTCTCTTATCACAGTCATCAGTTCTTCACACTGATTCTCACCTTGACCTCCAGTTGTGGGCCATCCACTGAGACAAGAGAGCAGGTGAATACATAGTTTATAAAAGTATTTCACCGATTTAATTCATCTAATTGTCACAGTGACCCTATGAGATGGTTAGGCCATGTATTCTTTTCACCATCTTATAGATGCGAAAATTAACTCAAGAAAAGTTACTGGTATAAATTTTAACAGCTGACAAGTGTGAAAAGAAGTAGAATTAGAATTTAGGTTTTATGTCCTCTTTTCCCATATTCTTGCAGATACTGTCACAGCACCGCACACTGTTTGATAATCTACTTTATTTTTCCCATGTGTAAGAACCTGGAAATAGCTGAGAAAGATGAGAGAAGGAGAGAAATGGGGTGTGAGGATCAAATGACAGTGGGGTAGTGACATCTGCTTTGCTGGGTTTTAGTTTTTAGTTCAATTGATGTCATATGAGGCCTTTCTCTCAGATCCTATCCCAAAGGACACACTACCAATTGTTCTGCTATTCATTATAAGGTGGAAAATAGCAGCACAACAAAGACACTTAGAATTGCATTTCAGAAAAGATGCTATCGTTTATTTTTCTATAAGGATCGTACTATGTATTATAGTTTAATGATTTTCCTTTGGAAAATGACATTGCCCAAGTTATTACGTATTGATTTAATAAAATGAAATGGATACATTTACATCCCTCAATCCGTTAGCAGCTGACCGCTGTTGATGAGATGCAGATGGTGTTGAGATAGAACCTGGCTGGGCCAGAAAAGGATGTCCAGGTCTTGCCTCTTAGGTCCACTCCACTTTCTCTGCGTCTCCATGGTCAGCCGGCTTGTAGGCCTGACACCTGGGAGCTAGCGCTCACCTGGATCTGTGTAAAGGAAAGAGGAGACTCATTCTTGTCTTCAGCTAATTGAGGGAGGTGTCCAGGAAGGTGTTTGGCAGGCAGTGTATTTTCAGGAGACATCTGGCAAGTGGAGGGCAGGGTTCAGATGGTGTTATAGGAAACTCCAGTCTCCTAAGGAAGAGATGTTAACCTTTTTAAAGGCCCCCCTCAGGAAGCAGTTAGTTCATTCTTGTGCTTTAGGAGCAGGAACTCTACAGCCAGACTGCCTGGCTTCAAATCCTGTTGCTACCCTGTATTAGCTGTGCAGCCTTGGGCAACTGACTTCACCTCTCTGTGCGTCAGACTCCTCATCTGTGAAATGAGGTGGTAATAGGTCCTATCCTGTAAGAGTGTTTTCAGGACTAAATGAATTCATATTTGTGAAGTGCTCAGTTTAAGCTCTAGGAACATATGAGTATCTAAATCCATTTTAATGAAATTATATTTTAACTTTCCTGACCTCTGTGATGATGATAAAAATATATAGAGAGTGCTTACTCTGTATAAGGAGATGTTCTGCATGCTTCACATGTCCTGTGTTTGATTCCTAACTTTTGTCCAAAATTGTGTGAATTTGTCTTTGCAGCCGCTGGCAGTCATCGTATGTCCTGGGTGGAAAAAGGCCCAATTTATCTTTGAATTATTGGGAGAATATAGCACATCCTCCAGGCCTCTTCATCCTATGTTGTTAACCATTGGACTCCACAAAGATGAAGCCAAAAATATGAAGCTTCCAAGGGGGTGTAAGCATCCTTCCAAACTGATTTTCCCCACAGAACACAATGGAGCCCTGCCCAGCAGGCCTGGGAGCCTCAGATGACACAGGCCTGTGTAGATGCAGCCGACGGTCACTAGTCCAGGTTGCCCTTGTCAATTACCGATGGGTACAGATGATGAAGGTTTGATCTTGGCTCACATCTGTGAGAAAAATACCGTATTTCCCCATGTATAAGACGCACCGTTTTTCGAAAAATTTGGGGTCTAAAACCTGGGTGCGTCTAATACACTGGTTGTAGATTTTTTTTTTTTTTAAAGATTTTTATTGGGGAATTGGAGGGGAACAGTGCTGGGGAGTCAGGGGAAGGGGAACAGACAAGTTGCTGTCCTTTTGTTCTTCTGTCTAGTTGTGGAGGACGTTGCTTCACTGGCCCAAGCTGGCACCATCATCGTGCTCTTTCCCGGACGAGGCAGATCAGTCGCCGGCCTCTGGACAGCTGCTCACAGCGGCTGCTGGCCGCTCACGCTGGCTGCTGGCTACACACAATAGCTTATGGCAAGCCACTGTAGCAGGGGCTGCAGCCTATGCCGCTGCCGGCGACTCTCGGCAGCCCAGCTCCAGGTTGAGCTGTTGTTCAGCATCTTAGCTGTAGAGGGCAGTGTCACTGGTCCTCATATGTGGGATCCGAACCGGGGCCCTCTGGCGTCCCAAGCCAGTTCTTAACCAACGTGCCACTCGGCCGGCCCATGTTGTAGATATTTTTTACTTGCATTTTCTGCTTTTTTCGCACTTGTTTTTGTGCTCATACAACCACTGTATAAGATGCTCCCAGTTTTTAGACACCATATTTTTTGAAAAAGGCTGCGTCTTATACATGGGGAAATACGGTAAGAAAACTATGTGATTTCATTCATTTATCAATTATACTGAACACCTACTGTTTTGTTAGGTGTTGACGAAAACCCTTTCTGTCTTTCAGGAGCACAAAACCTGGTGGGAGCCCAAGTATTTAATCAGATAAGCAGGGTTGTTAGCCCAGGCAGGCAAACCCTCTTGCCTCTCCCACCTGAGTAAGAAAAACAGCTTTTTGGGCCGGCCGAGTGGCTCAGTTGGTTGAGAGTTGGCTTAAGAGCGTGAGCTCTGAGCAACAGGGCCGCCGGTTTGATTCCCACATGGGCCAGTGAGCTGCGCCCAAGCTGAGCTGTCGCTGAGCTGCCAACAGGTGGCAGGATGGCTCAGCTGGTATAACAACAAGATTGCCTGTTCAATGGTGGGCTACGCCCACCCGCAACTAAGACTGAACTCAGCACCTTGAGCTGAGCTGACGCCCGGATGGCTCAGTGGATAGAGTGCGCTCTTAACAACAAGGCTGCTGGGTTCGACTCCTGCATGGGATGGTGGCTATGCTCACCCACAACTAAGATTGAACACAGCATCTTGAGCTTAGAGGCCACAAGCTGCCCACCGGAAGCCAGATGGAGACTGGCACCCTCCACAAGGAATATTGAAGAACAACTTGGCTGGTTCCCTTCCCCAATTCCCCAACACTGTTCCCCTCCCCCAACTCCCCAACAAAAATCTTTAAAAAAAGAAAAGAAAAGAAAAACAGCTTTTTGTTTTATTGGAAGGCATTTCTAGAAACTATGTGGAATCTTAGCAAAGGAGATGTTAGGAAAACCTGTGGGAAATCTAAAATGTTAATTGTTGTTTTCTTTTAAAATGTAGGTGATGTTATTGTTACAACACCACACAGCCTCCTGAGATTTCTCAAATATCAAAGCTTGTTATTTCTTAGACTCTGTCACCTAATTTTGGATGAGGTAGAAGTATTATTCTTTGAAGCTAGTGAACAGGTAAGTATAATCTCTATTTAGATGTCATTAGTACTCAGAAGCATATATAATTAAAGTCTTCACTGCTTTCAGGAGTCAAGAAAAGTGTCTAGTTGGGGAAGAAGCCTGGCTAATCTAAAAAAGTTTCCCTTTAATTTCTGTGATTAAGAAGAGAGAATGTTGATCTGAAATTTCCTTCCCTATGTTAAAGGGAAGAGCAAAACTTTTCAAAGGAGCTTTTCTAAAATATTTAATTAATATTTTTATGGTTATGAAAGCAATTTTTATTTTGGAAAATTTGAGAAATAGAGAAGGGTATTTGAAAAACCCCAACATCCCTAATCTTACGCTCAGAAGTAATCACTGTTACTATTTTGGAGTATTTCCTTCTTTTTTGTAATTCCTGTGTCTGTTGACACATGTAGTTAACGGTATCAGGCCCTTACTTTATGTGCTAATTTCTATCTTTTTTCAGTAAATAGCATTGTATTGTCACTAGTCTACAGTATGATTATTACTGGCCATATGGCATTGAATCCTATAGACATAATTTTTTTTTAAATCGTCTTATTTTTAGACAGCTTCATTTATGTGTGTGTGTGTGTGTGTGTGTGTGTGTGTGTGTGTGTGTGTGTGTGGCTGAAGAACATACATCTTTTTTGCATGTTTCCCTTAGGATAAATTCCTAGGCAGGGGATTAATGGATCAAAGACTGAATTCTTGTAAGGCATTTGTTGGAAGCAGTGTAACATGACCAAGAAGATTCATTTGGGAGAGGTGATGGCCCCAGGTTCAAGTCCAAGCTTTGTTACTTGGCCATATGGGCCTGTGTAAGGTTTCTGAACGTCTCTAAAAATCTCAGTTCTTATTTGCAAACTAATATCTGGAATACTGCATTGTACAATTGCCTTTCTGAAGGCGTACACTGGTTTACACTCCCTTAGGCAGTGTGCCATCACGCCACACACCCTTGCACCCCTGGCAGTAGGAGGCCCCAGTCCAGCTTGCTTTTCCAGTCTGATGTTAAACATGGCATCTGACCAATTTAATCTGTATTTCCTTGATTACTTGTTAGGTTGAGCATGCATTCATACGGGCCATTTGTACCATTCTTCTGTGAGCTGCTGCTTCATTCCTTTATTTATTTTCTGTCAGTGGAACCATCTTTTTCTAATCAGTTTGTGGACATTTTTGTATAAGGATGTTAATCCTTTGTTACATGTTACGCATTGCTACCCAGGTGTTTATTTTAATTTTGTTTATACCTAAGGTTTTTTTCCTTTTTAGTTTTTTCCTTTACTTTGATGTTTGGAAAGGCCTTTCCTGATCTGAAAACAAAAACTAGACAATCCTTTACCTTTTACATTCTGTCAAACTAATTATTCTCTCTTGAAATAAAAATGAAATTAATTATAGTAATTTTTTAGGTGTTTGCTATATTACATAACTTTAAAAAAAGTACTGAAGTTGAAGAAAGGGAATTCGCACCACATCAGATTGTTGCAGTTGGAGTTCATTGGAACAGACATATAGAACATTTACTCAAAGAGTTCATGAATGACCCGTATGTTGTGATCACGGCCATGGAAGAGGCTGCTCTCTATGGCAATGTCCAACAGGTAATGCGTTGTGGGCGGGGGGGGGGAGTGTTGAGGGGGGGCGCTGATGAACACAAGCAACTTACCTTTGTTTCATGGCTTAATATTAAAAGATTATAGCTTTAATTCCATATACAAATATGGAATTGTGTATTTAAATTTATATTGGTTTTCTACACATTCTTTTCTATTAAAATCACAACTTACCTCTAAAAAGTAAAACTGGAACACTTTGAACATTTTAAAAATCACCTTGTTTCTGTATTTCATTACTAGGTAGTACACCTTTGCCTAGAAAGTGAAAAAACCTCTACTTTACTCCAAACTCTTGATTTCATCCCAAGTCAGGCACAAAAGACCTTGATCTTCACCTGTTCTGTAGCTGAAACTGAAATTGTGTGTAAGGTGAGCCCCTCCACACATAAAACGTTCTTACTGTTTGTTTCAACTGTGATTGAATCTTGAGTCATTAGAGAATTACTGAGATAGTTAAATATTTGGGGAATAAAATTTTACCAGTTCGTCAGTCAGAAGAACCCTGCAAAGTACTGGTAGCAATAAAAAAGGATAGCAGGAGGCCTGACATTGAGGGTAGGAGCCACATAGACAGGACAAGTCTTTCACTGATGCGAACTGTCCCCAAGGGAGCAGTGCTTTACACTTTGTCATGGCAGAGCATTAAAAGGATCCATTTATCGGGACCGGCCGAGTGGCGCGTTGGTTAAGAACTGGCTTGGGATGCCAGAGGGCCCCGGTTCAGATCCCACATATGAGGGCCAGTGACACTGCCCTCTGCAGCTGGGATGCTGGGCAACAGCTCGACCTGGAGCTGGGCTGCTGTGGGTTGCCAGCGACAGCATAGGCTGCAGTCCCCTGCTGCAGTGGGTTGCCATGGGCTACCATGTGTAGCCAGCAGCCAGTGAGCAGCCAGCAGTCACCGTGAGCGGCTGTCCAGAGGCCAGCAACTGATCTGCCTTGCCTGGGAAGAGCGCAATGCTGGTGCCAACTTGGGCCAGTGAAGCAACGTCCTCCACAACTAGACTGAGGAACAAGACAACAGCAACTTGTCTGTTCCCCTTCCCCTGATTCCCCAGCGCTGTTCCCCTCCCCCAGTTCCCCAATAAAATCTTTTAAAAAAAAATCCATTTATGAAGAAATGCCAACATACTCTGTATCCTCTACTTAAGAAAATAGAGAAGATAACACTCAAATATAGCATCGTGTAGCTAGAAAAGCCAAATCCATTGACTAAAGATTTATTTAATCCAGTTGTTTATAAATTAATGCTAAAATGTAGAAATGAAGCCAAATACAAAATAAAATATAAGACTCAGTAGTATTCTCAAGGTCCATCCATGTTGTTGCAAATGGTAAGATGGACCTTGAGAATATTATGCCACATCAAAAAAGTCAGACTGAGGACAAATACCGTATGACCTCACTCATATGTGGAATCTAAAGAATAGAATAAATGAGCAAACAAAACAGAAATAGACTCAGAGATATAGAAAAAAACCCAAAAACCTGTTGGTTGCTAGATGGGAGAGGGAGGGAATGGAGGAGAAGGTGAAGGGTTTAGAAAGTGCAAATTAGTAGACACAGTATAGTCATGGGGATATGAAATACAGTATGGGGAATATAATCAACAATGTTGTAAAGATCATGTAAGGTGCCAGATGGGCACTGGACTTATCAGGGGTTCACTTCATAGACTATAGATGCCTGACCAATGCACTGTACACCTGAAGCTGAAGTAGAATAATATTGAATGTCAACTGTAATTAAATATATACATATATATAGTCACGGCATGTGGAGTACAGCATAAGGAAGATAGTCAATGGTATTGTAACAGCTATATAAGATGTCAGAGGAGCAGTAGTTTGGGGGAGGGGAGGTTATCACTTTGTGAGGGGTGTAAATATATAACTACTACTTTTATATATATATATGTATAACTAGTTGCTTTGTACACCTGAAACTAATTTTAAAAAATTGAAAGAAAAGAGAATCAGTAGTAGTACATCCAGTAGTAGGTATAGTGGAAATGAACTAGTAGGTATAGTGGAAAAGCCCCTAGGGACAACAGCACCATAAATTTGGTGTACATGTGTACATTAACAGTTGATCCTTGAACAACATGGGTTTGACTGGTGTAGGTCCACTCATACACGGATTTTTTTTCAATAAATACATTCAGGACTATAAATGTATATTCCATATGACTTTCCTAATAACATTTGTTTCTCTAGCTTACTTTATTGTAAGAATGCAGTATATAATACATATAACATACAAAATGTGTGTGGATTGATTGTGTATGTTATTGGTAAGGCTTCCAGTCAACAGCAGACTATAAGTAGGTAAGTTTTTGGAGAGTCAAAAGTTATAGAATTTTTGACTGCATGAGGGTGGGGGTAGGCACTTCTAACCCCCGTGTTGTTCAAGGGTCAACTGCATATACAAATATCTGTATAAGTAGTATATACACACATATATATACATATATATATATATATACATACATATATGCATGTGTGCATTATTTTAAAAGGCAGGAAAATAGTTTTAATAAAATAATGTTTGTCTCACTTGAGCAAGGTTTTAGATGTAAACTGCAGAAATTTGGGAATATATTTATTTAAGTAACAATCATCTCATTCTTAGAATTACTTGATTAGTGAGATAATGCCCTCACAAATAATTTTAAGTGGTTTATATTGATGACATTGATAGAACAACTGTCTTTAAGTTCTGTTCCTGACTGTGAACTGGCCTCTTGGTTTCATCTTTAGGTAGTAGAAAGCAATTCAATATTTTGCTTGAAAATGCATAAAGAAACGGTTTTTGATTTTAGAAGTATTTTAGAACAGTGGAAGAAGAAATTAAGTTCTGGCTCTCACATTGTATTAGGTAAGTGTTTTGATTTCTACTTACATTTAGAAAAGGCTGAGCTAATAGGAATCATGCCTCCAATTTGTTTACTTATAGCTCATCTCTAAATTTCTCCTCATTTTTTATTTAGATTTACTGAGAATCTATTAGTAATCTGAATTTCAAAGTGAAAATTAACCTCCGTTAAGATTTTGATGTTGAGGTGGACCTGTGTCCCCTGGGGTCCTCAGGTGAGGAGGTCGCAGCCCTTTGTCTAGACTTCTCCCTGGAGTTCCTTCCAGCCTGGGGATCAATGTCTCATTTATACAGAGGGTGCCCAAAACATGTACACAGATTTTAAGAAAGGAAAAAGCTGTATTAAAATTGTAATACTTAATACATACCAATAACAAAAGATGACTACAAGTCACATTTGACTTCTGCGATTACAAGAGGTGCTCAAAGTGGTTACCATCAGCGTCCAGACACTTCTGATTACGGCAAACTACTGCTTGAGCAACGTTGACCAAAGTGTCCACTTGTATACATGTTTTTGGCACCCCCAGTATATACATGCATATGTGCCTATGATGAAACATGTCATAGATGACTGTTACATTTAATATTAGAAATGTAAAAATCAAAATGTTTAAAATACATGTAAAATAGATATGGGCAGCCTAGATTTGTAATAAAAAGAGGCATTTTTTTAAAGGTAAAAGGGAGACCACTTTTCTCGAATTCAGTCACTGGGCTGTGACATTTCTGGAAAAAAAAGGGAAGGAAGCGTCTTTGTATCTAAAAAGTAAAATGCCATAAAGCAGTGTATTGAAGTATGGTTACTGGAATTGCTCAGTAGAGTAACCGTGGTAAAACTCCAGCCTCATTTGACATTGTCGGAATCCTTTTCTCCAGCCATAACTGATGACTGCATACCACCCTTGGCCATCACTGATGCCACGTGTGTGATTCACTTCAGCTTTCCTTCCTCGCCAAAAATCTTTGGTGGACGCCTATATTGCATGTCTGATCATTTTCAGAATTCGACTGAACAGGTTTGATTAACTTTTATTATCTTTTAACATTCCACTGGCATTTCCCGTGTAATGACAAATTCGGAGTCCCCAAAGTTTTATCATTTAGACTGGCATAGATGACCCACTTCCTTTATTCATTCACCCTCAATCTTAAGGGTTCTCCTGCGGAACAGGGAGATAAGAAAACCAAATCTGTCTTGCTGCTGACGGAGAGAAATGCGTGCCACGCAGTTGGCATCCTGCGCTATTTGGAGAGAGCGGATGCCAAGATTCCATCGGAGCTGTATGAATTTACGGCAGGGGTGCTAGAAGCCAAGGAAGAGAAAAAAGCCAGGAGGCCCCTGTGTCCATATCTTAAGGCTTTTGGTTTTTGCAAGTAAGCCAGTCATCTTTTTTTTTTTTTTATAATTGAGATATACAGTAAAGTGCAAGGCGATGAAGTTTACAGCTTGATGAATTGTGACATATGTATGCAGCCATGGAAACTACCACCCAGCTGGGAGGAAGCACCTTAGAGGTCCCCTCGTGCCCTTCTTCTAGAAGTAACCACCCTCCTGAGAGCTGTTTATTTTGCTTGTTTTTGAACTTCATAACCTAATACCTGTGACATTTATCTGTGTTGTTGTATCAGTATTTTATTTATTTAGTGGCTTGGTATTCCATTGTATGAGTATATCACAATGTGTGTATATATATATCCATTCTTCTGTTGATGGACCTGTGGATTGCTTTTCAGTTCTGGCTATTATGTATGAAGCTGCTATGAACATTCTCGTACCCATTTTTTTGTAGAAATATAAACCCATTTCTCTTGGATATATACTTTGGAGTGGAATTTCTGGGTCACAGGATAAGCATATGTTTTACTTTTCCAAAGTGGTTGACCATTTTACAATTTAGTCAGTAGTGTGTGAGAGCATTTGAGTTGCTCCATATCCTCACCAACACTTAGTATTCTGGGGTGTAGGGGTAAACCGTTGTGATTTTCATTTGTGTTTCCCAGTAATTAGTGATGTTGAATGTCCTTTCATATGCTTGTGGGACATTTGACCATCCTCTTTTTGTGATGTGTCTGTTCAGGTCTTTTACCCAATTTTTAAATGGGGTGTTTATCTTTTTGTCATTGGTTTGTAGGATTAATTTATTCTAGATACAAATGCTTTATCATATATGTGCATTCAGAATATCTTCTCCCAGTCTTGTGACTTGCCTTTTCACTCTTAATATTCTTCTGGGGCCGGCCGAGTGGCGCGATGGTTAAGAACTGGCTTGGGACGCCAAAGGGCCCCGGTTTGGATCCCACATATGAGGGCCAGTGACACTGCCCTCTATAGCTAAGATGCTGAACAACAGCTCAACCTGGAGCTGGGCTGCTGTGAGTCGCTGGCGACGGCGTAGGCTGCAGCCCCTGCTGCAGTGGGTTGCCATGGGCTACTGTGTGTAGCCAGCAGTCAGCATGAGCGGCCGTCCAGAAGCCAGCGACTGATCTGCCTCGCCCGGGAAGAGCGCAATGATGGTGTCAACTTGGGCCAGTGAAGCAACATCCTCCATAACTAGACTAAAGAACAAAACGACAGCAATTTGTCTGTTCCCCTTCCCCCAATCCCCCAGCACTGTTCCCTTCCCCCCAATGCCCCAATAAAAAAAATCTTAAAAAAAAAAAGTCAACCTTTATAAAAAAAAATATTCTTCTGATGAACAGACGTAAATTTTGATGAAGCATTTTATGGCCACTGTTTTTTGTGTCCTTATGTAAGAAATATTTGTCTCTAGGTCATGAAGACAGTCTTGTATATTTTCTTCTAGAAGCTTTCTAGTTTTAGCTTTCACATTTAGATGTATAATCCATATTGAATTTTTGTGTATAGTATGAGGTAGGGGGCACGGTTTACTTTTTTCCAAATGGATGAAACTTGCTCCAGGATCATTTATTTAAAACAGCGTGTTCTCACTGAGTTGGTGCCTTTAGTATAAACCACATGATAATACATGTGGTCCATTTGTGGACTCTATCCATTACATTGGTCTGTTTGTCTATCCTTACCGTAGGTCTATACTTTTCTCAAGTACCATAGCATATATTATAGTGCATCTTGGAATCTGGTATATAAGTTCTCCAACTTTGCTCTTATTTAAGGCTGTTTTGGCTATTATAAGTCTATTGCATCTGCATATACATTTTAGAACAGGTATGTCAATTTCTTCAAAAACCCTGTTGGAATTTTGATAGCAACTGCATTGATTCTGTAAATCAGTTTGGAGAACATGGATATCTTAACAGTCGTAGGGGCCCTTTCCAGACATAAGGCCAATATTTGACAATTGGATGGCTGGGACTCGGTAGTAGGTGTCTGATATGTATCTGTTGGATTGAATTTAATTTTAAGATAACTGCTGGCATTTACTTTTTAGAACTATGCTACATTAAACAGGTTATTATCAGCAATTTCCATTATGCCTTTAAGAATGTTGACTTTTGAAACTGAAGCTTCAGCTGTTTCTTAGTTTGGTTTTTGTTTTAGAAGTTAATTGGCCCTTTGTTGTGGATTATAGTAATGTATTTCTGGTTTAGAGTCTTTATTTTGGAAGTACATGTTGTTCATTTATGTATTGCATTTAAGAATGTCTGGAGATAATGAAGTAACTATTTTCTGAAACTTATTCAGTGTTAATTAAATTTTAGGATCCCTTTCCACTTAATTATGCATTGTTAGTATCATCTGAAGTATTTAATATGGTTACTTAACTTTTAAAGTGTTTCAAATAAAAGTTCTCTGATTTCAATTATTAGGTTTGTGGGGGGTTTTTTTCCTTGTTTTAAAATCCAGTTATTTTTTTTTCAGAGAAAAAAGGCTCTGTCCTTATAGACACCATATTAATCCAGAAATAGACACGCCAAAGAAATTATCCAACCAGGCTCTACCAACGTGTGGCTACATTAAAGTAAGTTCTGTTAAAGATCCTATGGTTGAATGATTAATGGTCATTTTAATGAACATATTATTTAAGCAGCAGAATCTTAATATAATAGAATATAATTATGATTTCCAGTGGTTAGTATTAATGTACCACCATCAATCTGACAATAGACACCAGTCCTTATAAGGCCCCCAAGTTTATTTAGCAAATCAAGATCAAACTGGGAAAGTGGGTGAACCCTATCAACAATTTGGGGATTTTTTGGTAACATTTTCAGAAAGAAAGTTGTTTTTTGGGGAGGACTATTAAAAATAATGCTGTGATTACATGAATCTTTCCAGAACATCCATGATTTGAGGAAAATTCTGAGATGCAGATAGAATTGCTGAATTAAATTTGTCACTTTCTTTTGGATCCTTTTTATTATTTTCTTCCTTTCTTTTTGAGTTTGATTGTTCTCCTTTTCACCTTCCCTTTTCCTTAAGGCGTATCTGTTTTGTTTATGCCTGCATGTGTGCCTTCTGGTGTGGCTGTGTTGTACTAGTTTCCTGGGGCTGCTGTGACAAATACCAAAAACTGGGTGACTTAAAACAATACAAATGTATTCTCTCACAGTTCTGGAAGCCAGAAGTCTCTTAGAAGGGCCGCTTGTCACTGGATATAGGGCCCACCCAGATAATCCAGAATGATCTCCTCATCTGGAGCTACTGAATTACATCTGCAAAGACCTTTTTTCCAAATAAGGTCATTGTCACAGGTCTGGGCATTAACACATGGATGTATCTTTTTGGAGGGCCACCATTCAACCCACTACAATTTTTATTACTGAAATGATTTCTTTTTCTTTAATTTCTAATCCTTTCCTGAGTTCTGTCACCTCATTTGTAAGTTTTTTTCATTCTGACTTAACGTTGTTTATATCATATATCCTTTTCTTAACAAGCTAAAAGACAAGTTGTTTTGAAACTAAAAGTTACAGTTTGGATCTATTTTGTGGAAAGACCTTTCTAGTGGCTTTCATTGCCTGTTGTGACTGTTATTCTGCTCCTTATTCTCTTTTTTATTATTATAACTTAGTATGGAATTTGACCCAGATACTTCGCTATTGATCTCTTTTATATGCAATTCATTTTCCTTACATTTTAGAAGGAAGTATGGATCAGGGTAACTTTTCTAATTTCACAGAGTTCCCATTTCTGTTGTTTCCATGTCTCATTAAAAAGAAAAATGGAGACATCGTTCCTGAGATTTTTTTTTTCAAGGTTTTAAAATTTTTATTGGGGAATTGGGGGATGGGAACAGCGCTGGGGAATTCGGGGAAGGGGAACAGACAAGTTGCTGTCGTTTTGTTCTTCAGTCTTAGTTGTGGAGGACGTTGCTTCACTGGCCCAAGTTGGCACCATCATTGCACTCTTCTCGGATGAGGCAGATCGGTCGCTGGCCTCTGGACGGCCGCTCACAGTGGCTCTTGGCAGCTCACAGCGGCTGCTGACTGCTCACGCTGGCTGCCGGCCACACACGGTAGCTTACCGCAGCCCACTGCAGCCCCACTACAGCCTACGCTGTCGCCAGCTACTCAGTGCAGCCCAGCTCCAGGTCGAGCTGCTGCTCACCATCTTAGCTGTAGAGGGCAGTTTGGCCCTCATGTGGGATCCAAACCGGGGCCCTGCTGCTCAGAGCTGGCGTCCCAAGCCAGCTCTTAACCAACGCGCCACTCGGCCGTCCCTCTAGCTGATTTTTAAATCCCTGTTGGTGTGCTTTGGGCTCATAGGTCAGGTGCTGAGTTCTGCAGACACATCTTGGGTTTAGCTTGATTTTGTTTTCTGGATATGTTTATATGTTTCAGATAATACCCTTTTATATTTCAAATGCAACAAATTACTTTGGTCGTATCGTTGATAAACATGTGGATCTTTATGCATCTCTTAATGCTGAAATGAAGGAGTATTTTGAGGATTCCAGTAATAAAACAACTGTTGAAAAGGTGGAGAAATTTGGATTATATGGATTAGCAGAAAAAACACTTATTCACAGGTAGAATGTCTGTTTATTTCATCTTGAAAAGCTGTAAAGCACGAGGTGACTTTAAATGGTACTGGATCCCCATCTTCACCTCTGTCCGTTGGACCCAGTGTTCACGTGCCAGGCCTGCTGCCTCCCAGGAGGGCGGTGGCAGGGTTGTGGCCCCCATACCACCGGCACAGTCGTACACCTGGGACTCGCCTGACCCACTCCTGAGCACAGAGCATGGAGAACAGTGTAGGGTTTATATACAGTTACGGAGCTGTCACTGTGTGCTACATACACAGACATCTTTAACTCAGTTTTCACAAATCCCTAGAAAATGAGCATCATTCCCATTTTACAGATAAGCAAACTGAGCCTTGATGAGGCTGTGTAATTCGTCTAAGGTCAGCTCAAATGGCACAGTCTGGCTTATGTGCCTGTTTGCACCCACTTCCGCGCTCCACTTGGTGATAGCCTAGACTGAGAAACTAGAACATTTTAATTCGCTATTTTAATTTTTATTGTGTTAGACAAAGGCATTTATTAAAAAATACTATATTTTTTTATACTTAGGTATAGTTTAAGTAAACCATTGCTAAATGTTCTTGACAGCTCTCCTTATTTTGTGTCTTGTGTGGCATAAAATCATGCAGTCAGGCTTCTTTTTATATGTTTTGCACTTAATGGGATAAGTTGAGGCAAAGATTATTTCCATTTTAGAATCTATGTTAAACTGATGCCACTGTTGTTCTCCAGAGTTCAGGTGTTGGAGATGAGCCAAAAAGAAGACACCTGTGCCGTGGATGATGTCCTTGTGAAGTTTATAGATGAAGGCAGGACTGGGCTTGTCACAAGAGGCCAACTACTGCATCTCCCAGGAAATTTCCACACTCTGCCCCCACAGGCTGTGGAGTTTATCGTTTGTCGAGTGAAACCCGCTGACAATGAAATTGAGTGGAATCCAAAGGTGAGCTATTTTGGCTTTCTATAGTCAGTTGGCTTTCAGGATATATGTAACCCAGAACGAACACAGAATTGAGGCTTATTTGAGTGTAGAGCATTGCGTTTGGGTAAAATGCTTCGTGTTACTGAGCAGTGAAAACACAGCCTGCTTGGACCCGTTCTAGTGCGGGGCAGCGCGGCGGGCCGCTCTCTGGATACCTTGCTCTGAGCCCTCACAGCTGCCAGCACCCTCGCTTGCCAGGTTTGGGTTGCCATTGTTATTGTTAGCATTCACAGACTTAGAATGGGTGTAAAATATGTGCTATAATAAAATAAATTGGCTGTCAGCTTAAGCAGAAGAAACCGTGGAAGCACCTATAAAAATGGATACCCCTGCCAAAGGGGGACGTAGATCGTGGCCGCTCTTTGGAGAAGCCGGGTCATTCCACTGGGGTTGGGAGGGTGGGTAAGGAAGGAGAGAGTCCAGAAAGTCTCCCAAAGGAAGGGCCATTGCCTCTGGGTCTTCTGGGCTGGGTAACTAGCATGTCACCAAGTACATGGATAAGGCACCGAAGGCAAAGGAGACAACAAGTGGGGCCGTCCAAATGGCTCAGTTGGTTAAGAGCTAACTCAAGAGTGCGAACTCTTGAGCAACAGGGCCACTGGTTCAGTTCCCACAGGGGCCAGTGACACTGCGTCCGAGCTGAGCTGCCGCTGAGCTGCCACCAAGTGTCAGGATGGCTCAGCTGGTGAGAGCACGTGCTCTTAACAACAAGACTGCCAATTTGATGGCGCACTACGCCCACCCGCAACCAAGATTGTAACAGCACCTTGAGCTTAGAGGCCATGAGCTGCTGACGGCCAGCCAGATGGCAACTGGCACCCTCCACAACAAAGATGGAACAACAACTTGGCTGGTGGTCCTCCCCAATTCCCCAACACTGGCCCCCTCTCCCAACTCCCCAATTGAAAAAAAAAAGAAGAAAACAAGTGCCCAGCCATGGAGCACAGAAGAGGGGTCCCTTGTGGGCTCACAGGGCTGTCCAAAGTGGATTGAGAGGCCCTCACCACATACGGGGCCAGACGGGCAGGTCTTATCCTCAGAGCGGTGAGTCCTGTTCTTGATGCTGTTCTTGATTCTTCAAAGGAAGCTTCAGTTTTGTACAATCTGATTAATCGGATATGATGTAAGCTATTACAGTTGGCAAAATATAAACAGTTTGGGTTATAAACAAGGTTGACCTTTATCCAGCAAATATATAGGTGAATGTTTGCATGGTACAGGATGAGCACACAGCCTCGCTGTAGTGAGTTTAGTAAACAGCCTTTGTTAAAGAGCAGTTTTTTTCTTCCGTGGTAAATATCTCTGGAGTGCCAGTCGTGTGCTGGTGCCATATGGGTTATGGGGATGTAGCCATTAGCAAGAACTTCATGGTCCTTGCCCTCAGGAAATGTTTGGTCTGTCAGTATGACCAACCACAAGTATTGCTTGGAGAGGAGCCCTCTGTAGAAATGGGGAGTTCTCCTGTGTGTGTTCTTTCAAATTAACTTAGAAGTTCAAGGGACATGGAAATAACCTAATCATGATGAGCCAGCTCCTTCCTGTTCTGCTTCACCAGAGTTAAAATGTGCCTGAAAGAGTGCTCGGGCTGGCCTCCTCTGCTGGCCCTACTGCTACGAGAAAAGCCATGCCCTCTGGAAGGGCGCAGGAAGGAGTACCAGGGCCCCTCCGTTCCCGGGCCCCTGGCAAGGAGCAGCTCTGTGGCTGTGCCTTCCTCCTCCTGCACTTCCTCTCGTGGAGCTTCCAAAGAAATAAACATCCATGCCTCATGCCTTAAAGACAGGTTGACAGTTCCCAGAGGAGGTGGGGACGTGCCCACAGTGGAAAGCATACACTGCTAGGAGGCCAGAGGTGTCGGACCTGTTCTGGGAGCTCGGCTTTTGCATCTGTCCTCCGCTATTAATAGTGGAGTTAATAATATTAATAATAGTGGGATTAAACTCCACTGTTGGGTACCCTTGTCAACGGAAGGGGCACGATGGCCTCCATCACCTATCTCATGGGGCGATGGTGAGGCTCAGATGGAATGCATGGAAAAGTTCTTTTTGCAAAACTTTTTGCAAAACAGCATATACAGAATAAGGTTATTTTCTTAAAGCTTCAGGTACATTTCTTCAGTGTGTTTTTCAGGTTACTAGGTACATTCATCAAAAAATTATTGGAAAACTGCATGATGCAAAAGTGATACTGGCTTTTGGAAATACAGTTTGGATTGATCCAATGGTGAGTATGCAGTTTTCCTAGAAAGAAATCTGTGTTTGAATGGGCCCCTAAAATAATCCAAAGTTTTCTAACCTGTTGCTTGAGTAGCTATTTGCCTCACACAAATGGAGGCTCATTTGGGGCCCTGAGTTGGGGAGAGTGTTTCATGTTATTTCGGTCATGAATTTGGTTGTGGGCTTTGTTTAAGGGCATCTTTTGTATTGTAACCCGGTGCTCACAGGCGCACACACGCACGCATGCGCGCGCATGAATGTGTGTGTGTGTGTGTGTATAGTCACACACACACACACACGCGCACACACACACACACACACACACGCGCACACACACACACACACACACACACGCACACACACACGCACACACACGCACGCACGCACGCGCGCGTGCACACACACACACACACACGAGCCAAGACAGATGCTCCATGAAACTGTCCTTACTGCGTGCGACAGTCTCTAAGGTTTACCCTTGTATTCTATTCCATTTTTTCAAGTGTCAGTTGTGCATGGTGAAATGGATGTCGCAGTCCCCTGTGCACACGGTGGGGGAGCCCTGGGCCAGTGACTGCCCTACAGCAAGCAGCACAGAGGTCCGTTTGGCTAGTTGTAAAATGAGCTTAAAGCCCCCGCACGTGATTGGTAATGTTGAGAGTCCCAGTCCTTGGGCTTTCAAAGACAGGTTTTACTATGTTCACAGTTTCTGCCTCATTCATTCCCTAAATATTGAGTGAGCACTTACTATGTGCTGGGACCTATACAGGACACTTGGATTCTGTTTGTGCACAGACTCCTACCCTGTGGAGCTGACGTGGGAGTGGGGGGGAGGGCTGAGTGGGGGATAAGGACATTTAAGTGAGGGACCTCAGTGCATCACCACCCCTTTGAGGCCAGCACCCTCCACTCTCCGCGTGTGCTCCAGGAACTCTACTTTTCAATTCAAAATTTTGCTGTTAGACTTAATTCTCAAATATCACGATTATGTATAAGATTTAAAAGAATTCAGTTCACGAAAACTATATTGCAGGAAGTTATTTTCATACGATTGGAAAAGCCTTAAAACTTTACAAGAAGTTTGGGTTGGGTGTAAGATTTAAGAGTAAAAGGAGAAAATGATGTTTAGAAGAGAAGGTAGAGATTATCAGTGCAGGTAAAGGGAGAGATTTGGGGTCTTAGTGGATGCTGTAATAGTCAATACAGTAAGTCCCCGATTTACGAACGAGTTCCGTTTCGGGAGAACGTTCGTGAGTTGGATTCATTCCTAAGTCCGACAAAGTGAGTCGTATACACCTCTGACACAAATATACAATGTAAAGCCAATGGTTGAATGATTCATGTTATAGGAACAAGCGACGTCTACCATCTTTTCACCTCGGTCCAATCTCTCGATTATTTTCACTTTTGTTTCCATGGTTATTGCTTTGGGCTTCCTAGCAGTCCCCTCCACATCACCACTGCTTTTCCTCTTGCTTCCGGACATCCTGGGCTCTGATTGAGCACTGTAGTACTGTACACTATCGCGCTGTACAGTAAGCACACAGCAGCACAACTGTGACAATGTCCGGCAGACACGTGAGCTACTTCCGCGATTTGTTCACATCTACACATGTTTATAATGTGAGATCCGTTCTTATCTGTGAAAGTTTGCAACTCAAATGTTCGTAAGTCAGGGACTTACTGTATTGTGGGTTTTTATCGGAAAATGAAAGGAAACTTCTATTAAGCAGCAATTTAAAAAGCTATAGCTCAGAGAATGAAGAAAAAAAGAAAAAAGAAAAGAAAACCCACCTGGCAGATATGTTTCTGCAGCTCCTAAGTGTTCCAGTGTCCATGGCACGCTGGGGGAGACAGAGCCCACGCCTGTCGCTTTCCCCTCCCAGTGTGATGGGAAAGGCTGTCCCGCCAGTCCTGCCAGATGGCAACACATTCCCAGGGGTCACTTAGGACAGTGCCCCAGCCAGTGCCAGCCTGGCCCACCCTCCCCCTTCCCTGAAAGGGATGCCCAGTCGCCTGCACATCTCCCACCAACGGGAATCAGACTGTTACAGATTTTCATGTTTTACTTAATTTTGTGTAAATTGAAATGGGTGAGAATGTTCTGGTTGCAGAAAAGACAAGTGGAGGAAACTGTCCAGAGCACAGGATTTAGGGCTTTGGCGGAGAGCCTTTCTGGGCACCTGAAGACTCCGGGCCTTGCTTAGGATCCTCCTTGTTAAGAGGGGTCAAGGTGCTGGAGTGAAAATCCAAAAAATCTAAGAATCTTGTGTGTGGCTACAGCATGACCCACTGGCTTCGTCTAGGGGTTTTATTTAGGATTCGACCTGGGCCCCAGCCCACACCTGACCGTATTTCCAAGATCAGTGTGGGACTGCGGAAGCATCTGCTGTGACCTTGGTTATGAAATGATCCGGATGCTGCGGTGGGAGGCCCTTGCACATTGTGGCACGTGCCCAGGTGCATCCAATATTGCAGAGCTAGCTCGAGAGGCCACGTGAGAGTGCTTGCGATTCATTTAAAGTTCAAAGTGTGATTCCTGCAAATGTTTTTCTTTTTCTTTGATTCAAGGTGCACATTACAAAACTTACAAGTTTGAAAACTTCTGTCATTGATTACAATGTTCGAGCTGAAATTTTGTCAATGGGAATGGGCGTTGATAATTCAGAACATACAGAACTACTGAAAAAATTATATGAAGGAGCTAAAATGCCAGCTTTTGAAGAAAGCCTAAGCCAAACCCTGTAAGTAGATTTTTGTCTCCCTTTTGGAAGAGCTGTTCTGTGGAAATATAATTCACAAGTGTTACATTTTTTTTTAAAGTAGAATAGTCGAATGAGTGTCCATGTTCCCATCACTTAGCTTCAATAATTACCAAGATGTGGGGAATCTTGTTAAAAGTGCACACTTCCTAAGTGTAGTTTGGCGGATTTTCTGAGCACAGAAACCAGCCCCAGATCAGAAACTCAGCCCGCCCCTCCCCCCAAGGGCAGCGCTCTCCCAACATGGAGAAAGAAGCCGGCACAGCTCCTCCCTGGCTTGTCCTGTGACTGGGATCATGCGGTGCGTCTCTTTTGTATCTGGCTTCTTTAGCTCAGCATTATTTGTGAAATGCATCCATAGTGTGCATGTAGCTGTAGATCATAAATCCTCATTGCTGCATTGTATTCCATTGTATGAACATACCCTAAGTGATCTACCCATTCTACAGTCGGTGGGAGAAATGTCCAGTTCTGGGCTCCTCCAGGTGGCACAATTAATTCATTGGACATCATGAAGTGTTTGTTTCAGTCCTTCGCCCAGTTTTCTACTGGGTGTCTGCAATTTTCATCTTGACTGGAAGGAGTTCTTTTTTTTTTTAATTTTTTTTTTAATTGGGGAATCGGGGGAAGGGGAACAGACACGTTGCTGTCCTTTTGTTCTTCAGTCTAGTTGTGGAGGACGTTGCTTCACTGACCCATGTTGGTGTTATCATTGCGCTCTTCCCAGGTGAGGCAGATCGGTCGCCGGCCTCTGGACCATACCAGCTGCTGAGCCAGGCCACACATGGTAGCCCATGGCAGCCCACTGCAGCAGGGACTGCAGCCTACGCCATCACCGGCGACTCACAGCAGCCCAGCTCCAGGTCGAGCTGTTGTTCACCATCTTAGCTGTAGAGGGCAGTGTCACCGGTCCTCATGTGGGATCCGAACCGGGGCCCTGCTGCTCAGAGCTGGCGTCCCAAGCCAGCTCTTAACCAACACACCACTTGGCCAGCCCTGGAAGGAGTTCTTGATTCGAGTCCCTTGGTGGACACACATGCTGTGTCACCCACCCCCTCTGCGGGCTGCCAGTGGGCTTTCTCAGAGTGACTTTCACAGTTGCTCATATTACCTGTGGAAATGTAAACTGGTACAACCAACCTGGAAAATGCTGGGCAGTACTTCTAACTATGACTCAGCAATTCTGTTCCATCAGAAATACATTTATAAGCGCACCAAAACACATGTAGGAGAATATTTAAACGTGTGTATGTATTTTAGATAGAGAGATAGAGATGGCAATATTTGCTTTTTTTATGCAAAGACTGTTTCTAGAAAAGCTGACCCAGACTGGTAAGAGGAGTGTCTCTGGGAAGAAGAACTGAGGGACCAGGACCAGGAAGGAACGGAGATGGCTTTTACTTTCTGTCCTTTTATCTTCCTTGAAGTGAATGGCAGTGTTTGTTATTCTTAAAGTTAAATGATTTGAAAGAAAACTTATCTTGATAAATGAGTTCATGCATTTATCTGATAATATGTACCAATCATTTACTCTGTGCATGATACAAGGGGCACAGACTGAACAGTGCCCTGCCCATCAGCTGTAAATGAATCCTAAGTTCTGTGTGGGTGTGGCTTGTAGTTGCAAACACATCAGGGTCATTAGTTGCCTGTGTTTCTTTTCTTGCTGGGAAGTCCCTGTAGAGAGTCAGATTTTGCTTAACCTCCGCCTTTTCTATCCAGGGCGCCTTCTTCAGCGGAAGATGCCACCTGTCTGCCCAGCACATGGCAGGAGAACGGGGGTTCAGGAAGTGGTTCCGACTCTGAGACAAACTCAGAAAACCCAAAGCATGGTTTGTTATTTAAAAGACAGTGAACTTAAAATCATTAATGCTTGGAATAAAAATTTTAAAAAAATCATTAATGCTTGGAAAATTTCTAACGGCTTTCCACTTTTAGATGAATGACAGAGTAGGTTCCATAAACCTGTATTACCTAACTTCCTACTTTTGACAATTCAGCTTCCAGTGGGGTGTTGTGTTTTGTTGGCTTCTTTTTAACTTATTTTCTTTTTATTATTTGAGGTGTAATGTTCATCCAGTAGAGCTCATCAGAATTTTTTACATATGTATATGTCCATTAATCATACCCAGATCAAGCCTCTGAATATTTCCTGAACCCAGGAGTCTTCTCAGGCCCCTCCCGGCTCTGTAACATTCCCGGGTGGCTGCTCTGCTGACTTCCGTCACCGTCAGTTTTGCTGAATTGGAAGCACTCAGCATTAGTATGCACTCAACATTGTGTCTGTGAAAGTCATCTAGATTATTGCAAGTAGCAGTGGTATTCTTTTATTGCTGAATCATATTCTGTGTGAACAGTGTATCTGTTCACCTATTAATAGATGTTGAGGTTGTTTTCAGTTGTTTTGATTGTTATGAAAGCTGCTGTGAACATTCTTGTTCCAGACTCTGGATGGAAGAGGCTTCAAATGTTTTAGATTGAAAAGTGGAAGTTGTATTGTTTTAGAAAATGGTATGTTTAGCACTGGTCCCTCGAGTATACTGGCTACTGTTCTGAGTCATCTTTAGTGCAGCTTTAGCAGGTAAAGATAGAAGCCTGAACATTTGTATCCTGTGGCCACCAATTGTAACGCGGTTCCTTTTCAGAGAGGAGCCTTACTTTCCCAGTTGGTTAATTATAATATTTGTCAAAGCCCATTTTTCTCAGTTTTACTAAATGATGTGCATTTTAATTTTTTCTAATTATTCTTTGCAACTGTATAGTTGGGTTACAGTGAAATTTATACTCTTAGTACTTCCTTAGCTAAAAATTGCATAAAGTGCAAAAACACTACATATATGTGCATACATTATGGAGTTACATATACATAACCTATTTGACTTTTTGTACAGAAACTTTACCCGAAAACACTGGAGGTGCTCCCATTAACAAAACTACAGAGCCTCTAAAAAGGTATGTCCACTCATTTTTGGAGAGCCTGCTTTCCTTCCTTACCTAGTGAATAAACAGTGGTGAGAATGTAAGCCCTTTTCTTTTCCTCTAGCTTCCACCCACAAATAAAATGGTTCCAAAAAGACGATGTGGTCGTATTGAAGATAAGAATAAGGAATGTAAAAGATTACAAGTGTAAATATTTCAGAGATAGAGTCATTTTCAGGTAGGTTTATGTAACTCTTATAAGGTAAAATAGAAATAATTTCTAACTTTTTTTTTTAGAAAACTGACTTAAAATTTTTTGTGTGTAAACCAGTGCCTGGGTAGGTGAGAAGTTTTACTTGGCTGATATGGAACTGCAGGCCAACATAATACAAGATGATTGCGAATGCATAATTAAAAACGAGGAGCCCATAATCACTCTTGCAAAAGAGAGAAGGGAGTCTTGGTGTAGCTTACTCAAACAGAGGGTGAGTTGAAATTAATGATGTCTGGTCTTAACAAGAGGAGCGTGTTTTATTCTCGCACTTAATGTGAACTGTTATGTTGAACAGAATCCTAATGTGGCTTTTGACTTTGATCACTGGGAAGAAAGTGAGGAGGAAAACCACTTCTCCAAGGGTAAGATGGGGTGCACCCACTCCCCAGAGAGAATGGTAGGTCCCGAGTGTCCCGGGCTGCACATGCGGGCTCAGCTGATTATAGGAATGTGGCTTTTGTGGAAGCGGGTCCTTCATGTAAAGCCCTGATGTCAAGTTTTCTTCTTGTGCTTGATCTTGGTGCTCAATGTTCTGGTTTGAGAAGGTTTCAGCTCTGAGATTTAAACGTACCTTCTTATAACACTTTCACGGGTTATTTTTCTTTGGAGGAAAATTTATTTATAAGCAGGTAAATTTTGCCTGATCATTTCTTGCCCCAAATAATGAAAATATAAAATAAGTTGCAAAATAGATAGCTGAAACCCAAGGGACTTTTTCTGCATTGACCAAAATAATGGGAGGGGAAAAGATTTATGAATTTGCCTATAGTTAACGTATTTTTTTATAACATCTCATACTTTTAGCTGTGAATTCTAAAAGCCTGTCCTGCAAAGTGGCAGAGGTGGTTGAGAACAGTGACCAAACTTCGGAGGAGGATGAAACTGAGAGTGAATGAAAATGCGAATTAAATCCTGAAGAGCAGCCAGAACACTATAAACAGAAATGGATATTGTTTTGTGACTGAAAGTTAAGAAAAGAAGCAGTCATAGTCAAACCTTTTTCCACCACAAGGATAAATTACCACTAAGTGTCAACTTGTGGTGCTGGGATTGGTAGTGGTGAGAAATTCTGAATCGATTTTAAAATGGGCTGAAAGGCCGGCCGAGTGGCTCAGTTGGTTAAGAGCTTGCTCAAGAGTTTGAGCTCTGAGCAACAGGGTCCCCAGTTTGATTCATGGCCCGAGCTGAGCTGCCGCTGAGCTGCTAACAGGTGGCAGGATGGCTCAGCTAAAAAAAAAAATAAATAAATAAATAAAAATGGGCTGAAGATGAGACTATCCCTGGTGGAAACAGAGACAGAAAGGGCTGGTCTAACACAAGCCCCGCCTCCATGGGCTGTCCTCATTGCTTCATGCAAAGCTCATCCCGACACTCCAGTTGAGTGACAAAAAGCACACGCTGGCATTCAGGTAAATGAACTGTACTCTCTGGAGGTAGTCTCTTTGTTTTTTTCATTTAGACCTGCATTTGGTACATTTCTAAAAACGTGGTCTTGTGCATATAAATTGAAGTTTCCATCTTACAAATTCAGTAGCACTTAGCAGACCTTTCCAGCCATGAGTTAATTGGGATTCAACATAACTGCCTGTGTACTAATACTTCTAGGATTCTTAAGATAGTGACAGCTACTCTTAAGATAGTGACAGCTACTCTGGGTTATTTACTGCGCATAGAGAGGTAGTCCAAGATAAAAGTGGGGAAGATTCCCCTGAACCACAGAGTCCTGGGTAAACGGGACAAAGGTTTCTGTTCAGAGGAAACTGAAAATGACCCCTGGGGTGCCTGCAGGTAACCCTCAGGACACCTGGATGTGACGACCCCTAAAAACATTCATGATCCCATTCTGGGGTGCAGCTGTGGCACCCAGGGTCACAAGGTTATGAGGAGGAATGTGTATTGTCATGACTCCTTAACTGTGGGAATGCCTGGAGCCTGACTTTGCGTGTTAACTGGAAAAGTTAGAAATGTGAGCTCCTGGAAAATTTACACCCTGTGTGCTTCTTCTGTGTGAGGCTGGCAGCCCTGCCCAGAAGTGGAGAAGCACATTGATAGAACATGGTGACTGTTGTGACTGATCCAGAGGTCTTCATTCTTTTTGTATGTCAGAGAGCACAGATGCTCAGGTTTGTGGATGACCCAAGTTTAAGCACCACTTGAATGACAGGTAAACTGTCCCCAGGCTGCCCCGTGAGCAGGTTTGGATCACTCACTGGTTCAGTTTCCTCATCTGTAAAATAGGACCTTGTGTTCACCACGCAGCCTCGCCTCATGGCCTGGGGCCTGTCACGCGCGGTGGCTCTGTGACAGGTCAGACCACTGCCCTCCGGTGTGAGGACATGGGGTCCAGCCTGGACAGCTGCCAGGGGCACATCCTTGCTGCTGCCATGACTCCCATGGGTTCACTGGCACGTGAAATATGGTGGTAACTTTCCTTTTTCTTGGCTAAATGGGCTGGCTCTTCAGGAAATAGGAAGTTTGGGTGTCTTTGTTTGCAAAGGCTCTGACCCTGTGGAGCTCTTCTGATGTCCTCATCAGGTGTTGGTTTCTGTGGGTTACAGCCTTGGGGTTGGTGGCCAGGCCTCCCGAGTGGCACTGGCTTTCCCTTGGTTGTTTACACACGGTTGCATTCAGTCTCTTGTAAAACAGCAAATAATATTAGCACGTAATAGAGCCACGCAAATGTGTTTCCCACGTACAGGTGGTGGGTGGTCCTGCTCATTGTCTTGTGTGGTTCACAGACCTAAATGAAAGGATTAGGGGAGGAGGGCTATTCCTTCCACTAATCTTCATTTCCTTGCAGACGTTAATATTTACTGTTTGAAGTTCCGAATAACATTTTGGAGGACATAGGACACTGACTTGTGAAATGTAAACATTTACTAATTGTTTTTTGTTCTGTTACCATGTACTGATTTCATGTTTTGGGGAAATTTCTGAAATGCCAGGTAAAAGTACTTCTGTCTCTGTGCTTCTAAAATTGCTCACATACCTAGTTGTGTGATGTCTTTTGCAGTGTATCAATAAAATTGCAGTGTTTTCACAGAAATGTTACTTTTTACATTTTTTTTTTTAGACAGGATTTTCCCTAAGTGCCAAAGGAAAAATAGAATTTATTCACCATACTTTCTGGTTTGACCAAAATGCCAATGAAGGCTTTTGGGGAGCCTGTGACGCTGACCACTGATTGCAGGGTCCCTCGTGGACACACAGGCTGCGTGGTTCCCGACGGTTCCCGACAGTCTGCTTTGCAGCAGAGCCTCCACATTCAGCCTGGGATAGACCTGCCCTGTACATCCCAGGTTAAATATGGGGGTGGCAAGACTTTGGGGAGAAGGGAAGGTTAAGTAGTAAAACATTTGTACTTTAGTATAAAAATCTATTTCAATCAAAGCAAAAGTTGATACAAAAGCAATTTTATATATATATAAAAAAAACTACGTATGCCTTTTTGATCATTGAGTTTAAAGAATACCCTTTATTTAAGTAGGTGTGATGTGCCGCTTGTTAAAGAGTCGCCGCCATTATAGTAGTGGTTTTCATTCAGCCGTCGCCTGGCCGTCAGCCTTCTGTTAGGTCACATCTTCAACCTGTTAATATCGTCACTGCTCCTATCTAGAAGCCCCCCACCCCCACCCAGAGAACTCAGGATATCTAAAAGTGCCAGTTTCATAAACATCTGAATACATCGTTTTAAGGAAAACATCAGGAAGGAATAACCACAAATACTGCTTACAAAAATAAAGTCATCACAGCTTGGACGTGGTACCGGCGAAGGAGCTTGTTACTCCGGAGCTTCCTCTGGTGGGACAACTTCCATGAGCATCTGAAGGTGCATGGTGATAGGCCCTGGAGTAAACATCCATCGAAAAGTGCAGTTAGGGAACTGTAATTAAATTAACTTCACCTTGCTTATCGGTGAGCAGCGATATTGTCATTACTCCACGGTGGTGTGTCCCCTGTTAGAGCCCAGGCGCTCCAGGGACGCAGTGGTGGGAGGTCATCAGAACCATCCTGGCAGCTACAGTGGTTCTTCGGGTGTAAGTTATTTCCCATGAAAACACTGCTAGTTATTTTATTGCCACCAAACAATTTATAGCAAAGATATGAATGACTCAATTATATGTATATATTTACCCCTGATTCAGAGTTGAATATTTAAGAGTCCCTTTGATGTCCTTTGGGCACCACTTTCTTTTTCATAGTGAAAGTGGCTATGTACCTAAACTTGTAAACAATCGTCTTAAAGTAGGTGAGGAACCAGGATTGCTGAGTGGAAAGCAAGAGCTGTGGCCTTGGCCTCGGAACGCTTGGGCCCTCGTCCCAACCCGGTCACTTTCTGAGTGTCCCTGGGGTGCTGCTGAGCCTCTCCGATGACGTCTGTGTGTCCGGCGAAAGAAAGGCTCGGAGGCACAACAGTGGGAAGATACTTATCACTACTGAACTTATAAAAAATGGTTACGATGGTAAATTTTATGTTACGTGTATTTTACGATTAAAAAAAAAAAAAAGGAAAATGGTGCTCTCCCTTCCTGCTTGTTATAGTAAGTAAAGGAGGAGGCCCATAGGTGGAGCCCAGCGGTGTCACACTGAGGGGAAGGAGTCGTGTATCCTCGCCCAGAGGAGGTGACATTTGCTAGCTGCCTGAGACCCTGTGATGAGAAAGTCTTGGTGACATCAGGACAGATGTGGTTGCAGGAGGCCAGGCCTGTCTGTGCTTCCCTAATAACAGAACCATCCCTCTGTGGATACTTACTTGAGATTCTCTGAGCCCATGCAAACTTATAGTGGACAAAAAGGAAGTAAAATATAAGGCCGCTCAGTATAAAGATCACACAGTAGAGATACTCCCACGCAGGTTCACTGATGATTGGGGCCAAAACCAAGAACAAGGACACGAGAGTCACCAAGACGGGGATGAAAATGGGCACCTGCAGGCAAAGCAACTTGGTGTCATGATTTGGCCACGTGCATTCGTTTTTCTGTTTGTAGGTTTTCATTCAAGACCCAAACATGGGGATATAAAGAAGAATGTCATGAGCTCCAGGCACCCTACCACCAATTTCAGTAATATTTAAGTAATTTTGCTAATCTCATTTTGTCTCTACCTTCTTTTGTTCTTTTCCCTAGAATATTAAGAAAATGCCAGACTGTGTCATTTTACCTGTAACGTATTCAGTATACATCTCTAACTGAAGAGGACTTTATGTTTTTAATATGTTTATTCCCTCCCCCTCTTGTTTTTTATTATCTTGTCATGGATTTGTTGTAGGAATTTGTCCTGTACAATGTCTTAATTCTAGCTTTGCCTGGTATCTTGCTCCTCTATCCCTCATATTTCCTGTAAGCTGGTGGTTAGACCTGGAGGCAAGAACACTTCACAGTTGGAGCTGTTCACCTCCTTTTGTATCACATCCCAAGGCGCTTAAGGTCTTATTGTCCTACCTTTGAATCCCTGAGGCCAATCAGCTTGTTGGCAGGGAGGGGTGGGAGGGGCCCCAAGCAGATTGCAGATGTGACCCTGAGTAGTTGCATGCCCAGGAATGGGCCTGGGGCCACAGCTCAGAGGTCCCCTTAAGTGTATGAAAAATGTATGCTTGATAGATACTAGAACTGTCAGAACTGTACAGCTCACTCTGGTTAGAGAGACAGGCCACAGGTATTCTTGATAACTTAATAAATTAGCCATTAGACAGCTAATGGTTCATAAACTATTATATGAAATGAATTGAGGAGCAAACCCCACTCTAAAATATGATATTTAAGAGAAAAGTGGAATCAGGGTGGAAATAGCATGCCCCTAGAATTTACAATAGTTGCCTCTACCGAATTCAGCTCAAGAAACCAAAGCACTTGGGACATTTTGGGGCAGTAAACCTACCTTGATGGGCCTTTCCAGTTCTTTCCTCGTGAACCTCATCACAATTAGTCCTAGAACCGTCAAGCCATAAAATAGCCATGCGGCAAAACTGAAGTAGTTGACTAATGAGTTGATATCACCAGGGATGATATAAATAGTTGCTATGATACCCTAGTAGAAAGAAGAATGAATTCTTAGGTCTTTAGTACATAAAAACATCCCTATCATTCACGGAAGACTGAGGAAGCCTTTTTTTCCTGTGGGTAAACACTTCAGCATGAAAGAAGCCTCCTATGTTATGTTCGGGGTTTAACCAGACTTTGACTGAGATAGGCGCTCTCTTTAAGGCCTGTTGGAAAGGAATTGGGAAATTTGTGATTCTCTGAGGTTGCAGTTTTAAGCAGGGAAAAACCAAATATGTACGTATTGCACCAGCTTCCTAATTATGAATTTTCCTTCCAGAGAATTTTCATCATGGGAAAGGGTCCTGGATTATGAAAGGGAGGTTGTTTACATCTGGTCTTGACCTGCATTGACTGTGCCTTGTAACTCTCAAGGGCCTTGCAATTCTGGGTCTGTTCCCTCATCTTCAAAAGGAGGAGGTTGACAGAGAGTAGTGATTCTCCTCTGGGGATGACAGGAGGTGTCTGGCTTTGAGGCTGGTGTGGACGGTCCGGAGGTACCCAAGACAATTACAACCAGGGACTGTCCCCCAGTGAGAAATTCCAATTAGAAGATGTCAAAGGGCCGTTCCTGCACAAGGATCCCATGACTTCTAAATTATTGGACCATAATGAGAAGCTGTTTTCCGTAGCCACCCTGTAAAATGCCTGATTCTCCTTTCCCAGAAGCTAGTGGGTTTTTGTAGTGTGTTACCAGGGATCCAAGACATACAAATGTAAGATGTGTAGAAGGTACAAGCTTGGCAGATTCACCCAGTGTCTCTCATGGATAAATTCAGAACACGGAGTAGAAGTTAGGTAAATAGTTGGAATTGTCTTGAGCTTTTTTATATACTTGTTTCATGTCGAGGACTAAGGGAACCTGGGGTCATTTGAAAACCACCGGGCTTAGCACTATGGCTTTACTTCATCCAAATGGAGGGACCCTCTGCCTTTAAGGGGGTGTTTTCATGGCAGAATTCATACTCACATAAAAGATGATGGCAGGGGCTGGAGTCAGGCGCTTGACGCTAATGTAAGAGAGCACTTTGAGCATGTGGCCTTCCCGGCCTGCGACATAAACAAGCCTGAAAAAGCAGTAATACGGAAGTCAGTTGCTAAGAGTACAGGCTGCTGTGCCATCACTGCCCACATGTGCCCTCAGCCTCACTACTGAAGCCACAAAGGGACTGAGTTGTGGCCCTGGTGTCCTCAGGTGGGAGTCTGGCCTCCAGGGGGGTGGGGGGTGAGTTTTGAGTTATGGAGAAGTGAGTGAGGTGGTTAGATGTGCCTGAGAGAAATGCATCTTGGTGCAGCAGCAGGGGAAGGTGGGGGATGGCTTGAGGAGTCCCTTTCAGTGAGGAGATACCTGATCTGAGTCCTGAAAGTTATGCAAGAAACAAATGTAAAAAGTAGCTCAGAGCTAGTGGACCCCAGTGCTTGGAGCATCTGACAGAAGCAAACACAGAAGTGCATTGCGCTTCCTAAGTCCAAGCTGTACAGACTTTCCATATTTAAAAAAAAAATCAGATTAAAAGGAGAGTCAGCAGATGCAAACAAGTAGCCTAGCTCCCCCCCCCCCAAGAACTGATGAAAGACTATGTTTAAAATGTTAGAGAAAAGGAAGAGCTAAAGAATTGCCCCCCAAGGGGCCAGCCCAGTGGCTCAGTTGGTTACATAAGAGCATGAGCTCTGAGCAACAGAGTTGCTGGTTCCATTCCCACATGGGCCAGTGAGCTGTGCCTGAGCTGAACTGCTGCTGAGCTCCCAACAGGTGCTAGGATGGCTCAGCTGGTGAGAGCACATGCTCCTAACAACAAGGTTGCCAGTTCAACTCCTGCATGGGATGGTGGGCTATGCCCACCGGCAACTAAGATTGAACATGGCACCTTGAGGGGAGCGACTGCGAGCTGCCAGCGAGCAGCTGGATGGCGACTGGACTTGGAGCTGAGCTAGCTGCACCCTCCACAACTAAGACTAAAGAACAACAACTTGGCTGTTCCCCTTCCCCAATTCCCCAATAAAATCTTTAAAAATAGGGAAAAAAAGAATCCCCCCCAAAGTTACTATAATTAAAATTTTAATCAACAACAGATAAATGAGATACAAGTAGAAAAATATATTAGAAGCTGAATCTGAGTACAAAGCATAGAGAAATGAAAAATATGGGCAGGAAATTAATGGGAGAAACAGGAAGAAGCGCAAATACATTGCCTGGGGTAAAGAAAGCAAGTTCAAAGAAGAGCAGGGAGGTTTTACAGGACTGAAAAACTCTGAGCCTTCAAATTGAATCCCTCTCTAGAAAAATGAAAACATACCCAAATATAAACATTATAGTGGAAAGAAAAAAAGCAAAAAAAATGAAAAGCTACTGAATTTAAAAGATTACAAAATCAGGACAATAGGAGACATCTCCTGAGAAATAATTTTTTTCAGTCATGAGGGAAATGGATTTTCAGATTAGAATTTTGTACTGCTAAGCTACCATTCAAGACTACTGACAAAATAAATACATTTTTAGATAAGAGCAACGAGACATTGGCTATTCCCTAATCCTCACTGGAAACTATTAAAAAGTCTACAACAACAAAAAAACTGAACTCAGAAATTATTATTATTTTTTTTTTTAAGCTGAGCCATCCTGCCACCTGTTGGCAGCTCAGCGGCTGCTCAGCTCAGGCCGGGAATCGAACCGCTGTTGCTCAGAGCTCAAACTCTTGAGCGAGCTCTTAACCAACTGAGCCACTCGGCCGGCCCCTGAACTCAGAAATTATTGATTGAGGAAGCAACGTTAAGAAACAGCAGTAAAACATGTTGGTATGTATATAAGTACTGGATTTTAAATTTTTGTCATGATGAACTTTTTTTGGAGGGGTGGGTTTATAGACAAGGTGTAGCTGGGACACTAGGTGATAGGAAAGGGAAGGCCCTTGTAAGGGGGAAGAGGACTGAGATACTGATGCACTATTAGGTATGCATGTGAAATTTTAAGGGTACTTGCTAAAAGAATAGAAATAAGTTCCACATCAGCAGAAGAAAAAAAGGAATAACAGTAATTTGATGGGTAATAAATCAGAATAAGATTTTTTTTTAAAGGCAAGAAAACACATATGTGTTAGAAATTAATCCAGGTGCAGCCCGATGGCTCAGTTGGTTAGAGCATATGCTCTTAACAACGTGTGTTCTTAACAAGGTTGCTGGTTCGACTCCCGCATGGGATGGTGGGCTGCGTCCCTCCCCGCCCCTCGGCAACTAGATTGAAAATGGTGACTGAAAATGGTGACTGGACTTGGTGCTACACTGTGCCCTCCACAAACAAGATTAAAGGACAACAACTTGACTTGGAGCTGACGGGTCCTGGGAAAAGCACACTGTCCCCAATAAAGTTTAAAAAAAAAAAGAAAGAAAATCCAGCTATAGCAGTAATCACCTTAAATGTGAGGATTCAGCTTGCCCAGCTACAAGCTCTTGGGTGGGATTTGTTGAAAGAAACACAATCCACAGCCTGATAACACTGAGAGGTTGAAGATGAAATGGATGGGACATGTTGCCAAAAATTGCAGGCTAAAAACAGCTAGCTGATTAAGCAATATCAATATCAGACAAAAACACTTCAGGCAAAAGGAGTTCCTACTGAAAAGGGGAAGAAGATATATAAACAGGCGAAAGTTGACATCTATGAGAGTGGAAGATTTGAACAGTCAAGGTACATGCTTCATGTTAAAGAAGCTAGACAATAGAATACGCGTCATTTTTCAAGACTGTAAGAAACATGAAAATTACAGTAAGCCACAAGGGAAGTCTTAAAATTTCCAAAGAAATGATAGCATGAAGATAACATGCTCACTACAATACAATAAAATTAGAAGCCAGGAATACAGAGGCCAAAAAGGCCCATCGATTTAAAACTACTGGAACTTTGAAAAGATATGAACATGGTATTAAGGTAAATTCCCAGAACAAGTCAGGGAAAATGGGAGGAAAGGGGTTGCCAGGTTGTGGGGGGTGAGGGGGGGGACTCTAAATGATGCTGAATTCACTCTAAATCCCAGCAGTTCACCGCAAATCAATATATAAATTCCACGCACTCAAAATGCAAGCAGAACTTTTGGAACTGGACAGAATAATTCTAAGTGCATTTGAATGCTAAACAGGAAGGAGAAGCCTGATGTGGGAGCACTAGTCCTACCAGACTTGACATTACTGAAGCTGTGAAATGTAGAGTAAGTGTGATAATAGCACAGGAAAAGACGGTAAGTGAAACAAAGTGAACCGCCTACACTGGGAATGGGAATGGTGGCATTTCAAACCAGTAGGGGAAACGGTGGATGGTTCAATAAGAAATACTGGAACAATAGGTAAAAGTTTGGGGGGAAAAAGTGAGATTTATGCCCTGCATAAAAATGCATTCCAGGGGCGGCTGGTTAGCTCAGTGAGTTAGAGCGCAGGCTCATAACACCAAGGTTGCCGGTTCGATTCCCACATGGGCCACTGAGCTGCGCCCTCCACAACTAGATTGAAACAACTACTGGACTTGGAGCTGATGGGTCCTGGAAAAACACACTGTCCCCCAATAAAAGTTTTTGAAAAATGCATTCCAGCTTGATCAAAGAACTAAAGTAAAATGCTAGAAGAAAACAGGTGGGTACTCTTGAAAAGGAGAGAGGAAGGTTTGTCTATGTGAGATAGAAAACTCAGAAACCAGTAAGCAAAGATCTTAGATTTAACCTCATAAAAATTATATTCAACATAATTCAGTATAGCACAAGTCCCTGTCCATTCCCCCAAGCTGCACAAGTACAGAGCTATACAAAAGCTATAAAAACCAGAGCTATAAAAATGGATCACATACCTAAAGAAATGTAAAAGATAAACGCCTAGGATAAAACAGAAGACAAAATCTTTGTGACCTTGGGTTGGGCAAAGGTTCTTGGATATGATACCAAAAGCATGACACATGAAAAAATAGATAAACTAGACTTTGTCAAAATTAAAAACATTGGTGTTTCAAAAACGCCATTAAGAAAATGAGAAGACAAGCCATAGACTGGGAGAAAATATGTGCAAACCGGATACTTGATAAAGGACTTGTAGCCAGAATATATGAAGACCTTTTACAACTCAATAACAAGATGACAAACAGCCTGATTTAAAAAAATGGGCAAAAGATTTGAGTAGATATTTCACCAGAAGATACATGATTGCACATGAAAAAGAAGCTCAGTCAGTAGCAGTCATTTGGGAAATGCAAAGTTACGATGACATATTCACACCCACTAGAAATGACTGCAATCAAAAAGACAATACCAATTGTTGGTAAGGATGTGGATTGTTTATAGAAATTAAAATGGAACTACTTGGAAAACAGTAAAGTAGTTTCTTTAAGAGTTAATCATAAAGTTATTATATGATCCAGCAAGTCTATCCCAAGGACTCTGCCCAAGAGAAATGCAAACATATGTCCATACAAAGACAATATACGTGAATGTTCATGGCTGCATTATTCATAATAGCCCAAACCAGAAACAATCCAAACGTCCATCACCTAGTGAATAGATAAACAAAATGTGGTTCATTCATATAATGGAATACTAGTCATCAATTAAAAAGACTGAACTGATACATGCCGTGACATAGATGAAATTAAAAAATAATATGCTAAGTGAAAAAGGCCAGATGTGAATGACATATTGTATTATTCCATTTAGATGAAATGTCTAGAAAAACAAAGTTATAGACACAGAAGCATATCAGTGGTTGCCTACAGCTGGAGGTGAGAGTGGGGATTAACTACAGTTAGGCATGAGGGAACTTTTGGGGATGATGGAAATGTTCTGGAATTGGATTGTGATGATGTTTGCACAGCTTTATAAATTTACTGAAATCGTGTAATTACAAATTTACTAAAAT